CCAACTACTCGGGAGGCTGAGGCAGGAGAATCACCTGAACCCGGGAGGCAGAGGTTGCAGTGAGCTGAGATTGCCCCACTGCACTCCAGCCTGGGCAACAGAGCAAGACTCTGTCTCCAAAATACAATAAAAAAAAAGGCTCACACCTGTAATCCCAACACTTTGGAAGGTGGATCAGCCTGGGCAACAGAGCAAGACTCTGTCAAAAAAAAAAAAAAAAAAAAAAGGCCACACGAAGGCTCACACCTGTAATCCCATCCAAGGAGGGCAGATCACCTGAGGTAAGGAGTTCAAGACCAGCCTGGCCAAGATGGTGAAACCCCGTCTCTACTCCAGCCTGGTAGTATAGGGCGAGACTCCATCTCAAAAAAAAAAAAAAATAGTAATTTGGTGACTATGCCAGCTATCACGTAACACTCCCAGCAGGGTTTGGGACAGACCCTGTGATCCAAGCGCTGCTATTTCTGCAGCCAAAGGCAGGATTTCCACAAAGCAGGTTCAACACACACATAACCTCATGTCAAGTTCAGGTTGGGTTTGCCACCAAATGAGCTCTAGTGCCAATCTTAAGGACATCTTTTGGTTTCAAAACCTTTTTGGAATTTGGAACTGGGTTAAGAGGTTTTGGACCTGTATATTTCTTTGTGTGTGCATGGTTGAGAGTGTATGTATTTAAGTGCATTATGTTTTTATCTGAGTCACTGTGAGAATATGTGGTTTATGTGTGTTTTGCTAGTGTCTGTGTGCCTCTTGTGGGGTCTGTGTGTCTCCTTTGGGGTGGGTGGGGGTGCTGTAGGCAAGATATGGGTTATATTTGGAGAGGTGGGCTGGGGATGGAGGTACTGCTGTCCTCTGCCTTGTTCTTTGACAGGGGCCACCTGCCTTTCTTCTAAACGACACCAGCATCTGCACTTAGTACATAGACCTTGTCTTTAGTGCATAGCACCTGTGTTTAGTATAGTAGCACCTGCGCTTAGTGCATAGCGCCTGTATTTAGTAGGGTAACACCTGTGCCTAGTACATAGCACCTGTGTTTAGTACAGTAGCACCTGTGCTTAGTACATAGCACCTGTGTTTAGTACAGTAGCACCTGCGCTTAGTGCATAGCACCTGTATTTAGTAGGGTAACATCTGTGCTTAGTACATAGTGCCTGCATTTAGTACAGTAGCACCTGCACCCACACCTCCCGTTCCCTTTCATACCTGCTGTCTCCAGGTGACAAGAGTAGCTGGAGTTGGTTCCTAACCGCCTCCAGGCTCCCTCGCATCAATCCCAGCTGAGCAGGCCCCTGTAATGGGGAGAGGGTCTGTCCCTCTATCTGGAGCCCCCAGTTTTGATAATCAGCCCTGAATCTCCAACCCAGACCCAGTCTGGCCGTTCAGCAAGGCCCCAAGCCCCTCTTTCCCCAGTCTTGAGGCCTGGGTCGGGGGCTGTCAGGGGCTGTCAGGCACGCCTGCCATGTCTGCCCCTCTCTCCCCTGCGGCCAGCCCTCTACAGCCACAAGCCCGAGGTAGCCCAGTACACGCACACGGGCCTGCTCCCGCAGACCATGCTCATCACCGACACCACCAACCTGAGCGCCCTGGCCAGCCTCACGCCCACCAAGCAGGTAAGGCCTAGTCTGCCGCTCTCCCTCGCCTGAGCCAGAGCCCTCACCGCCACACCCCAGGGGCTCAGGAGTCTGCTCTGCTCCCCCAGGTCTTCACCTCAGACACCGAGGCCTCCAGTGAGTCCGGGCTTCACACGCCAGCCTCTCAGGCTACCACCCTTCACGTCCCCAGCCAGGATCCTGCTGGCATTCAGCACCTGCAGCCCGCCCACCGGCTCAGCGCCAGCCCCACAAGTAAGAGGCCCTGGCCCCGCCCCATCCCTTGATGGCCCCGCCCCTTCCGTGTTGGTCCCGCCCCTTTCGTTGTCGTCCCCCGTCGCTGTGGGGCAGTGCATGCAGTAAGCCTAGGGCTTCGGCGAGGAAGCCCCCGCAGGCATGGGGGGTGGGGTGGGGTTCCCGCCTCCCAGACACGGCCTGTGCGCCCATGAAGCCCAAAATGCACGGCGACCCCAGGAAGATGGGCCCACCTCACAGGAACATCTCAGGGACTAAGTTGAGGAAAAAGGTGAAGTCATTGTTAGAGGCAGCGGCGGAGGATGATAAGGACCAGGTCTGTGAGCCAGAAGCAACTCTTTCACGCTTTTGGTTTGGCTTGGCTCAGGGTTGAACATTCTTTGAAATTTGTTGCCAACATTTCAAAATCGTGAATTTTCACATAGAAATCCGGATTTCCAGCATCTTTTGGAAAACTGGAAAAATTCATATTCCCACATAACAGCTCACCAGGCCCCACTACATCCACTCACATTGGCTCGGAGTTTGTAATCTATGATGTCATTGTCAGGAGTGGGCATTTGGAGTCAGGTGGCTGGCTCTGCACCTGCCTTTATGCCAAGTTGCCCCTTTCTCTAAGGTTCTTGGCCCCAACCCTGGCAGCCATCATGACAGCCACTGAAGGCATTCTGTGTCCTGGCTCCATGCTTCACCTCGGGAGGCGTGTGCACAATCACCCCCATTTTACCGATGAGAACATGGACACTTAAGGAGGGGAGGGACTTGCCTCGTCTCCCACAGCTACCAGACAGCAGGGCCAGGACTCGAACCCAGGTCCAACCTCAAAGCCCATTCTCTTAACCATTTCCATTAGTCAGGTTTCTCCAGAAACCCAGAACCAATAGACTGACTTGAAGGACTTGGCTGGAGACTGTGGGGACTGCCTAACCTGAAATCTGTTGCTGGGAACTTCCTCGAGAGAGAGTTCTGCAGCCTTGAGGCAGAATTCTTTCTTCTCTGGAAACCCATTTTTGCTCTTATGGCCTTCTGCTGATGGAGGAGGCCCACCCATATTTTCAGGGTAAACTCCTTTACCGCAAAGCCAACCGGTTGTGGCGTTAACCACATCTACAAAGCACCTGCATTCACAACAGCACTTAGATGAGCGTTTGACTCAGCCTCACCAAGCCAACATGTTTACAGCTGCCTGCCCCGGCATCTCACTGGGGCTTCTCCAGCGTTCCCACTAAGGTGTACTGAGGCCACTCCCTGGGCAGCCCCAGAGCCTGGCTGGGAGGCTCCCCTTGTTAAGAACTGAGAGTAGAGGTTTGACTTTGGGGTTCCTGTTATCTGCTGTGATCCAGGAGGTGTGGCCCTGCCTCCTTGTCCCGAGTGTTCTGGGGCAGGAGGGGTGGGTCAGGGTGGCTGTGTGCGGCCAGCAGCCTCGTTTGCCTCCACAGTGTCCTCCAGCAGCCTGGTGCTGTACCAGAGCTCAGACTCCAGCAATGGCCACAGCCACCTGCTACCGTCCAACCACAGCGTCATCGAGACCTTCATCTCCACGCAGATGGCCTCTTCCTCCCAGTAACCACGGCACCTGGGCCCTGGAGCCTGTACTGCCTGACTGGGGGCAATGAGGGCAGCAGCCAGCCCTGCCTGGAGGACCTGAGCCAGCCGGGCTCCTGCTGCTCTTCCTGGAAAGCTGCGCCTCGCTCCCTGCTTTGCTGTGACGCATCAGAAAGGGAGGGCTCTGAGGCGCCCCAACCTGCAGAGGGCTGCTCGGGTTGCACACAAGGGGGCCATGGAGAGCGTGAGCAGAGTCTGTTCCTGGCAGATGGAAGGACTGTCCCTGCTGTTTGGGATACGAAGGGGGCAGCCTGTGACTTGGGCATCCCCAGCCTGGGCCTGTGGAGAGCCCTGGGACACCTACACCACTCTGGCAGCCACACTTCTCAGGACACAGGCTTGTGTAGCTGTGACGTGCTGAGCTCTGAGCGGTCCTGGGTCAGTGTGGCCTTGTTCTGTCACCTATGCACCCACAGGGCCACTCCCTCCCGCCCCCACTCCTTCCAGCTAGGGACACACATGCCCTTTGTACTGATCCCGTTATCTACTCACATAGGCATTTCCTGGGTGGCTACTCTGTGCCAGGGCATGGGGCTCCAATGCCCACGCCCAGGGGGGCTGAAGCTAACAGGGAAGGTAGGCAGGGTCTCCCAGCTTCCCTGGTCCCCAGCGATTCCCTCTCCCGGGCCCCAGGACCTCCATCTTTCCTGGCTATCAGTTCCCAAAAGCATCACACCCCCGAGGCCAACCCGGCCTCCTGCCTCTATGAGGAAGGCCGCTTCAGAGCTAGGAGGTCGTCCTTACTCCTGTGGGAGCCTTGTGACCCGTGCCAAGTCCAGGTCCTGTGGGGCAGACCCTGCCCTTGTCTGGGGAGAAGCTGCTGAGCTCAGAAGGTAGCAAAGCCCAAGCAGCTGGCCAGGCTGAGGTGCCCAGGAGAAGAAAGAGGCGACCCAGGGCAGAGGAGCTGCCTGTGTGGACAGGACTAAGCTCAGGAGCTCAGGGCCCTGGCTGGCTGAGGGCATTTCGCAGCCACCAGAGGAGTCCAAGGTCCTGAGCACCACCAGGAGGGACACAGGAGCCTGTGAAGCCCGGGCAAGCATGGCCCCATGTCTCTGCGCCTGCTGCTGAGAACCTGGTCTTTGGAGCGCCACCACCACCCTGGGATTCAGAAGGCCTGGGCGACCCGGCACCCCTGCAGCTTGTAGCCAGCCGGGGCGAGCGGCAGATTTATTTAACTTTTAGTAAAGCCAAGGAGAAATGTGGTGGAAACATCTTGCTTGTCCACAAATCATTCGGGGGGGAGTTTGGGCAGGCAGAGGGAGGTGGAGGCAGGCCAGGGGCCTGCAAAGACGAGACGGGCGCCAGCACCCACACTCTCACACCCATTGCTGCTTTTCTGGCTCTGCTGAGACTCTGATGATGAAGCCAGATTTTACCCTAACTTTGAGCTTCTACTTTTGAATCAAATTCTGTTTTGGAGACAGGGTCTCACTGGCACCCAGGCTGGACTGCAGAGGCATTAGAGGCTCACTGCAGCCTTGATCCTGGCCGCAAGTGATCCTCTCACCTCAGCCTCACGAGCAGCTGGGACCGCAGGCGCACATCACCATGCCTGACTAATTTTTGTATTTTTTTAATAGAGACAGGGTTTCACCATGTTAAAAATTAGTCTCGAACTAATTTTTGTATTTTTAGTAGAGATGGGGTCTCGCCATGTTTGCCAGACTGGTCTCAAACTCCTGGCCTCAAATGATCCACCCTCCTTGGCCTCCCAAAGTGCTGGGAATTCAGGCGTGAGCCACTGCGCTTGGCAGTGAGCTTCTACCTCTTACAGAATGTCTCTGTCACAGGAAATCTAGTCCGCGAGCGCTGTGACACTTTCTGAAGTCTTGGGTGGGGGGGACAGAGGAGGAGGATGTTTATTCAAAGCGTCTTAAGGTTCAGCACTGACAGAGGCAATCCCAACTCACTCTCAGTTTTGTTTGGGTCCCCTGACAATTGAGTTTCCATAATCTGGTCGGCTCAGAGACATCATCATGTGTGGTATATTCACAAATGCAGACAAAGGAAATTCTAGAAAGCCAGGGGTGAAAAAAATCTCTCCTTTCTCAGACACTCTGTGACGTCTATGTGGGCTAAGGAGAGAAGGACAGAAGTTTCTCTGGGCCTTGGCATCTTGGGATCCCTTCTCTCATTTTCTAAAAATGGTTTCTCACGCCAGGCTAAGGAGGTGGTGGGGGAGGAGGTCTCCCTTCCCCTGCCCACCTCAGACAGTTCTAGGGAGATAGAGGTTTCACCACTTGGCCACTAGTCTCAAATAACCGGAAGGCTCCTTTTCCCGAGGCCATGCAATGTTCTGGAACCACAGGCCCCCAGCCCCCCATGGGAGCACAGACGGGCAGGCCGTGCTTGGGCTTCTCACCCACAGCCACTTTTTTGGCCAGACTCTTGGGCAAGCCCTCATCACCATCAGGGTCTTATGGGCAGTGTAGACTTGCCAGCCCAGTCCTTGAACTTGGAGAGGGAGGTGGGGCTTGGAAATGCCTTGTCCCAGGGGCATCCTGTCACTGGAGCTGAGCCCTGTGCCCACAGCTGGCTTCAGTTTGCAGGCACCACTGTGGCACTCTTTGCTGGTGGGAGTGGAGAGGCCTCACTGGCCTTCTTTGCCTTTTTCTTCTTTTTCTTCTTTTTGGTTCCAAGCGACACCTGGTCCCCGGTGAGCTCACCTGACTTCTGCTTCTGGACTGTGGCCACGCTGGGGGTGGTGGTGGCGACTATCGCCACCTTCTTGGCTCTCTTTTTCAACTTCCTTTTCTTCTTTGCCTCCTTCGCCACTGTGCCAGCGCCGTGGATGGCTGACTCCTGCAGGATGTCCGACGCCGACACAGCTGCCTCCTGGCACCGCCGCCACTGCTCATCGCTGTCCTCACTGCTGCAAGGAGAGGGTGCCCTGGGTTAGCTGCAGTCAGGACACAACCCAGGGCCACCTCACTGTCCTCCCTCGGTCCAGGTCATCAGAAAGCAGCCGCACCGGGAGGCAGGTAGCGGGTTCAGGCTTGGGAGTGGGGCCAAACTGGCTTCCAATACTGGCTTCCAGGCAGGGGTGCCTGCAAACTGAACCCAGCTGTGGGCACAGGATCACAGCCTTGTGACCTCCTACGTGATTTAACCTCGCTGACTCTCAGTACCACCTACAAAAGGGGATCTTAACAGAGTCCAGGCCTCCCAGGGGTGTCCCAGGAGGCAACTATCAAGTGAGGTGTCTGGCCCAAGACAGGTGCTCAAAAGCAGTAACCATCCGAAGCTGCCACCAAGAGAGCTTTGCCCTCCCACTCAGTGCACGTTTCTCCAGCTCCCGACGGCCACTGCCTCGGCCTGGTCCTGACTGGCATCTGCTTGGCTATTCCGGGGAAGCCAAGACAGAAGAGGAGGAGAAAGGAGGGTATGTGAGGAGAGGTGTGAGTTCTCACCTCGAGATGGAGGGCGGGCGCTTTCGGAGGGGTTGGGGCGACTCTTCCTTCTCACGGCCTCCAGGGACAGACGTGAAGAAAAGGCGGAAACCTGAGATTCAAAGGGGCAGAGTCAAACAACGAAACCAAACAAAAAAGAAACAAACAAAAAAAAAGTAAAAGAAACAAAAAGAAAAAAAATTTAAAAAAGAAACAACAACAACAAAAAAACCCAAACAAACGAACAAACCAAAGGGGCAGTCAGACTGCCGGAGGCCAACGCCTCCTCCCAGGTGCCAGGTGCTGAGGCTGCCCCGCCTCTGCCCTCCAGGAGCTCCTGGTCCACAGGCAAAGACCCCCGGAATCGGTCGTTTATCTACAAAGTGATGCCGTGTCATGCTGATGCCTGATGGAGCCGGTAGAGGGTGCGCTGGAGGGGAAGCCAGCAGCCACATCAGCTCAGCAAGCCCTCAGAGGCTTCTGGAAGCCAGCGCTTGAGCTCCTGACCTAAGGCAGCCTTCAAAGTAGGAAAGACGCGGAGGGTGAGGCTGTGGAGGGCAGGGGTGAAGTGCTCCTGCTCAGGGCAACACAGATGAGGTCACCTCGGGCAAACGAGTTTGTTTCTCAGGGCCTCAGTTGCCTCATCATAATACTCGCCTCACCACAGGGGCTGAGCAGATGACAAGAATGGCGCGGTGGCTCACGCCTGTAATCCCAGCACTTTGGGAGTCTGACGCAGGAGGATTGCTTGAGACCAGGAGTTCAAGATCAGCCTACACAACATGGTGGAACCCTGTCTCTACAAAAAATACAAACATTAGCCAGGTGTGGTGGCGCATGCCTATAGTCCCAGCACTTTGGGAGGCCAAGGTGGGGAGATCACTTGAGGCCAGGAGTTCAAGACCAGCCTGGGCACAAATTGAGACCCTGTCTCTAAATAATAATAATAATAATAATAATTAGCCAGGTGTGCTGGTGTGTATCGCTGGTCCCAGCTACTCAGGAAGCTGAAGTGGGAGGATTGCCTGGGTCTGGGAGGTTGAGGCTGCATTGAGCTATAAGCGCTCCACTGCACTCCAGCCCAGGCGGCAGAGCAAGACCCTATCTTGAAAAAAAAAAAAATACCAAAACTGTTTCGCCCGGCTCCAGACACACATTAGGTGCTCGGTAAACGATAGCTTCTAGGAAGTACAACGACTCACCATCATCCTCTGAAGCAACTTTCTGTACCTGAGCTTGTGTTGGCTCCTTTGCTACTTCTGAGATGGTAATGGAGCTAAGGGGACAGGAAATGGTTGATTTAAGATGATATTTTTGGATAACAACAAAAACAATTAAAAAAATTTTTTTCAAGTGGAGGGGGGATGGGGCATGTGATCTCAAATGCAAAAGCAGAAAGCACGATGGCCTAAGAGGGCTGATGGTATAGTTGTAACCTGCTGACCAGCCTCTGCCACACAAACTGCACTGCTTCATTTGTTTAAAGCCCACAGTGTTGAAGAAGTTTTAAAAACACAGTGAAACAAAATGAATGCAATTTCAAATAGGGCATAGAGATAGAATGGCAAGAGGAATGGAAAGACCTAGAAGTGTGGTCAGGAAGTTCTATATACTCATTAGAGAGAGAGGGCATACATTTTGCTTTGAGCTTCCTAGCAGCAAGCACAAAAAGGGAAATATAACCAATCTAGAAAACTAATTCAGAGGACAGCTTCTGGAACACAGCAGACTTGTTTTAAACTTTTTTTTAATTGAAAAAATTGGAGATCATTGTAGACATGCAGTAGCAACAAATAATACAGAGGTTCCATAGACCCTCCACCCATCTTCTCACAATCCTAACACTGTGCCTCATTACAGTACAATATCGTAACCAGGAAACGGAAATGGATTCAATTCGCAGACCTTAACCAGACTTCAGAGACCTGGGTTTTGAATCCTGGTTTTGTCACGTATTAGCTGTGTCCCTTAAGCAAATGACCATACCTCTCTGAGCCTCTGTTATCCAACTGTACAGTGGGAATGATGACAGTCCCCACATTTTAAGGTCATCACAAGGACTGAAGGAGAGAATGGGTATCAAGCACTTGTGGCGCACGGTCTGGCCACAAGCAGTCGCTCAGTAAATGGTAGCTATGATGACGCTGAAGATGATGACTGCCACCAAGAAAAGCTTTGGCCTTCAGAGGACCTCTAGCTTAAAAATAAACTGCATTTCTCTAGAGGCACAAGACCAGAAAGCATGTCTCTGGTGAATGCGGATGGAGAAGTCACTGTGCACGGCAGAGAACAAGGCTCTCAGCAACGCCCTCAAAGCAGACACAGCAATGCCCTGGGTGCTTTTGCTAACCTCCCTTCCTGTATGCCAAAGGCGCCCCCAAGCCCTGTTTAGGAAGAGCAACCTGGGGAGAGGGAGCAGAGATGCCACCACCCAAGCACCTGTTCCTGACCCACACAGTGGTTTAATGGTGGCTGCCAGGGGTAGCTGGCAATGTCTAGAGACAATTTTGCTTGTCCCAACTGGTGGGGTGAGTGCTACTATCTTCTAGTAGGTAGAGGCCAGGGGTGCTGGTAAACATCCTATAATGGGAAGAAGGACAGACCCCTACGACAAATGCTAGTCAAAGATGTCAGCAGTGCCAAGGCTGAGAGACACTGACCGAACACAGGGGCCAACTGTGGTATCATTTATATTTCTTTTATTTTTTTTGAGATGGAGTCTTGCTCTGTCACCCAGGCTGGAGTGCAGAGGCACAATCTCAGCTCACTACAACCTCTGCATCCTGGGTTCAAGTGATTCTCCTACCTCAGCCTCCCGAGTACGATGGGATTACAGGTGCGTGCCACCATGTCCTGCTAATTTTTGCACTTTTAGTAGAGATGGAGGCTCACCATCTTGGCTAGGCTGGTCTCGAACTCCTTACCTCAAACGATCCACTCACCTTGGCCTCCCAAAGTGCTGGGATTGCAGGCGTGACCCACCACACCTGGCCTAAGGTATCATTTAAATTTCTTTGGCGAAACATGGAAATGCTGCAGGGAATATTCTAGCCATGGCCGATGGCATCTCTACTGGAAAAACATCCGTGGTGGCTCAGTGCAATGCCAAGCAGGCCCTGTTCAGCCTGGAGCCAGAGAATCACAAAGAAAAACTGTGCTCCCACAGGCTGAAATGCAACTGCCTTCCCAAACACCTCCCCTACGTTCTCGAATTGAAGGGACTGGCCCTAACCCTATGGGAGTTCAGGCTGCAGAGCTCTGGCCATCATTCTGTCTCAGGAGAAGAGCTGGTTCACACTTTGGGAAGGTTCATCTGTCCTTTTCGATATCTACTCAGTTGGAATGACAATGGCCCCAAATCCTGCCTCATCTCCCTTTGAAAACCCTGCCAGGGCTCTGCTAGTGAGGATGGGATGTGGAACAGCGTATCCGAAGACCTGTGCCACAGCTTGTTGACTGGTCTTCCATGAAACGAAGGCCCTGTGGCTACATGAGTTTGGAAGATGCTGGGCTAAACAGTTACACAGTTCTCCTCGCTATGGGAATCTCAGAGCCTTGAATATACTACTATGAGTTGCAGTCTTCAAGGAGACATGGAGGTATGAGGAGTGCAGCGTTTCTCACACTTCTCTGGACCTCCGTTGTCTGGGGAGAGCCTCTTCTAGAAAAAAGAACCTCCTTTCCTCTACAGCCACACTCCGGGCTAGTGATAGAATACAAATGTTTGTGTCCTCCCTAAATTCTTATGGTGAAATCCTCACCCCAGCTGGGCACGGTGGTTCACACCTGTAATCCCAGCATTTTGGAAGGCCAAGGCGGGTGGATCATTTGAAGTCAGGAGTTCGAGACCAGCCTGGCCAACACGGTGAAAACCCATATTTACTAAAAATGCAAAAAATTAGCCAGGTGTGGTGGCACACGCCTGTAATCCCAGGTACTCAGGAGGCTGAGGCACGAAAATCGCTTGAACCCAGGAGGTAAAGTTTGCAGTAAGCTGAGATCGCGCCATTGTGCTCCAGAGTGAGACTCTATCTCCAAAACAAAAAAAGAAGAAATCGTCAACCCAAGGTATTAGGGTTAGGAGATGGGGTCCTTTGCGAGGTGACTAGATCATGAGGGTGGAGCCTTCATCAATGACATTGGTGCTTCTGTAAAAAAGGCCTGAGAGATATAAAATCAATGTGCAAAAATCACAAGCATTCATCTACACCAATAACAGACTTAAAGAAAGCCAAATCAAGAACGAACTGCCATTCACAATTGCTACAAAAAGAATAAAATACCTTGGAATACAGCTCACAAGGAACGTAAGAGACCTCTTCAAGGAGAACTACAAACCACTGCTCAACGAAATCAGAGAGGACACAAACAGATGGAGAAACATTCCATGTTCATGGTTAGGAAGAATTAATATCGTGAAAATGGCTATACTGCCCAAAGTAATTTACAGAATCAATGCTATCCCCATCAAGCTACCATTGACTTTCTTCACAGAACTGGAAAAAACCACCATGAACTTCATATGGAACCAAAAGAGAGCCCGCATAGCCAAATCAATTCTAAGCAAAAAGAACACAGCGGGGGGCATCACACTACCAGATTTCAAACTATACTACAAGGCTACAGTAATCAAAACAGCATGGTACTCGTACCAAAACAGAGATATAGACCAATGGAACAAAACAGAGGCACCGGAGGAAACACAACATATCTACAACTATACAATCTTTGATAAACCTGACAAAAACAAGCAATGGGGAAAGGATTCCCTATTTAACAAATGGTGTTGGGAAAACTGGCTAGCCATGTGCAGAAAGCAGAAACTGGACCCCTTCCTGACACCTTACACTAAAATTAACTCCAGATGGATTAAAGACTTAAACATAAGACCTGGCACAATAAAAACCCTAGAAGGAAATCTAGGCAAAACTATCCAGGACATAGGAGTAGGCAAGGACTTCATGAACAAAACACCAAAAGCATTGGCAACAAAAGCCAAAATAGACAAATGGGACCTAATCAAACTCCACAGCTTCTGCACGGCAAAAGAAACAGTCACTAGAGTGGATCGGCAACCAACAGAATGGGAAAAAATTTTTGCAGTTTACCCATCTGACAAAGGGCTGATATCCAGAATTTACAAAGAACTCAAACAGATTTACAAGAAAAAAACAAACAAGCCCATTCAAAAGTGGGCAAAGGATATGAACCGACACTTTACGAAAGAAGACATATATGAGGCCAACAATCATATGAAAAAATGCTCATCGTCACTGGTCATCAGAGAGATGCAAATCAAAACCACATTGAGATACCATCTCACGCCAGTTAGAATGGCGATCATTAAAAAATCTGGAGACAACAGATGCTGGAGAGGATGTGGAGAAAAAGGAACACTTTTACACTGTTGGTGGGAGTGTAAATTAGTCCAACCATTGTGGAAGACAGTGTGGCGATTCCTCAAGGCCTTAGAAATAGAAATTCCATTTGACCCAGCAATCCCATTACTGGGTATATATCCAAAAGACTATAAATCGTTCTACTATAAGGACACATGCACACGAATGTTTACTGCAGCACTGTTTACAATAGCAAAGACCTGGAATCAACCCAAATGCCCATTGATGATAGACTGGATTGGGAAAATGTGGCACATATACACCATGGAATATTATGCAGCAATCAGAAATGATGAGTTCGTGTCGTTTGTAGGGACATGGATGAATCTGGAGAACATCATTCTCAGCAAACTGACACAAGAACAGAAAATGAAACACCGCATATTCTCACTCATAGGCGGGTGATGAAAAATGAGAACACATGGACACAGAGAGGGGAGTACTAAACACTGGGGTCTATTGGGGGGAAAAGGGGAGGGCCAGTGGGAGGGGGTGGTGGGGAGGGATAGCCTGGGGAGAAACGCCAAATGTGGGTGAAGGGGTGAAAGCAAACAGAACACACTGCCATGTGTGTACCTATGCAGCTGTATTGCATGCTCTGCACATGTACCCCAAAACCTAAAATGCAATAAAAAAATAAGAAAAAAAAAAAAAAAGGCCTGAGAGAGACCTCTCGCCCATTCTGCTATGTGAGGACACAGTGAGAAGGCGCCATCTGTACTGGGAAGCGGGCTCTCCCCAGACAACACGGAATCTGCTGGTGCCTTGATCTTGGATTCTCTGCCTCCAAAATGTGAGAAATCCATTTCTTCTGTTTATAAGCTACCCAGTTTATGGTATTTTGTTATAGCAGCCCATATGGACTCAAACAGGTGGTATTCCTTGGCACCTACTTTAGGAATGCCAACCTGAATCCTTACCGACTGTGTGGTCAACCTGTGCTGAGAATGTAAGACAGAGACCTGGCACAGAGCCTGGCACAAAAAAGGCACCCAAGAAATAGGAAACGGCCCTTCCTTGCCCTCTTGTGGCAGGAATGAGCTTCTGAGGTTCCTCTTATTCTCATGGTTGCAGGGGTTAAGAACATGGGCTTGGCTGGGCATGGTGGCTCACATCTATAATCCCTGCACTTTGGGAGGCCAAGGCAGGCAGATCACTTGAGGTCAGGAGTTTGAGGCCAGCCTGGCTAACATGGTAAAACCCTATCTCTGATAAAAATACAAAAATTAGCCTGGCATGGTGGCGGGTACCTGTAATCCCAGCTACTTGGGAGGCTGAGGCACAAGAATCGCTTGAACCTGGGAGGTGGAGGCTGCAGTGAACCAAGATTGTGCCACTACACTCCAGCATGGGTGACAGCATGAGACTCCATCTCAAAAAACAAAACAAAAGAAAAAAACATGGGCTTGGAGTCAGATGCACTTGGGTTTGAGGCCCAACTCTGCTCCCTCCTGGGTTTTGAACTCTGGCTTTGTCATTTAGTAGCGGTGTCCCTTGGGCAGATGACTTTGCCTCTTTGAGCCTCAGTTACCCATCCGTACAGTGGGAATGGTAACAGTCTCTACCTCTTAGGGTCATCACAAGGATTAAATAAGAAAATGGACATCAAGCACTTAGCACAGAGCCTGGCTACAAATAGTTGCTCAGTAAATAATAGCTATGACGATGATGTGACTTCAAGCAAACCTGTCTCCTTGTCGACAGCCTGTTTCCTCACCTGGAGAATCAAGGTAACAACAGGACCCACATGAGAATGTTTTTTATGAATGCAGTGAGGTGACATATGCCAAGTGCCTGCCTGGACACCGTGAGCTCCCAGCCAGTGTGAGCCATTGCTATTGGTATTAACAAGGACAGGAGAGGAAAAGCTCTACCGGTGTTTACCTGTCCAGCAGGGCTCCCAGCTTCTTGGCTACGTAGGCTCGAAATTCGGGGGTGGTCTGAAGCTCGTTGCCATCTTGTTCATGCTCATCCACCTTAGGCCTACGACACACACAAAGAGATCACTTCCTGTCCACTCAGAAGCTGTCCCCATGAGCGCAGGGACCATGTGTGTCTCGTTCATCTGGATATGCCAGGGGTCTAGCCTAGCATCTGGCACACACAGGGGATCAGTATTTGTTGAATGAATAAGTGAAACTTGAACCCAAAGTGCACAGTACCTGAGGCTCGGTTGGGAGGTTGACAACTGGTTATTTGCAGCACCTGTGGAAAAATGGAAATTGGGACATTTATAGAGGCAACAATGACAGGAAGTACAAACGTCTGCCAGGCACTATTTTCAGCAGCTGAAAATATATGTCACTCATATGGATACATACATGTATCACTCATTTATATTTATATATAACTTAAAATAGTTATATACTTATAACTTAAAATAGTTACATATATAAGTTATATATGTAACTAAGTTATATATAACTATATTTTATATAGTTATATATAACATAGTTATATAATTTAAAATACATAGGTACATGGGTTTGAGGCCTAACTCTGCATTTACAGAGGAAACAATGGCAATAAGTACAAACATATATCAGGCACGATTTTCAGCAGCTGAAAATATATATCACTCATATATATATTTATATATAACTTAAAATAGTTATATACCTATAATTTATATAAGCATATTTTATATAGTTTATATATAACCTACTTAAGATAGTTATATACCTATAACTTTATATAAGTATATTTTATATAGTTACATATATATAACTTAGTTATATAACTTAAAATAGTTATATATATACCTCAGGGTGTGAGAGAGAAGTGAAAGTTAGCTCCGAGGTTTCTGACTTAACTAACGACTTACATATATAACTTAAAATATATATATAGCACATATAACTCAGTGAATCTTTCCAACAACCCGATTGGAGGGGTTACCATTATCCTGCTTTGCAGAAGAAACGTCAGAGATGTAAAATAAGTTGGCCAGAGTCAAATACCTATTAAGTGACAGAGTTGGGCCGAGGACCCAGGCCACTTGGCTCCTGAGCCCCCTCTTAACCACCATGCTGTGCTGAATAGTCCAGTTAAGTGTAACGGGACTGCACAATTTAGTGCCTGCCTGGCTGTGTGCTAAGTGCCGTGGAAGAGAGAAGATGGCTAGATGGCTCTTTCGTAGATCTCATTTTTCAAACCGAAACACTGAGGATGCCTGGCCTTTCAGTCATTCACTCAAACCAAACCCTGAATGCCTCGTATTAGCCAGGGGTAACTGCTGAGCAACTTACTTGAATGTCACTGTCTGCATGGAGCTTACATTCTAGTTGGTGGAGAGAGATGACAAACACACATACATAAACAAAATGTAAAGTTGGATAATGGTAAGTGTACAGAAAAAAAACAAAAACAGAGTAGGGGAGGCAGGTGGGGAGCGCTGGGCTGGGGACTGTTATATAAAGGTGGGTAGAAAGGGCTTCATTGATGAGGTAACATTTGAACAGAGATTTGAGAGAGGAGGGGAGTGAACCAAGTAGACATGTGGGACACAGCCTTCCAGACAGAAGGGAAGAGCATCTGCAAAGGCCCTGAGACCAGAGCCTGCCCTGTGTGTTTAGAACAGTGAGGAGGTCAGTGTGACCAGAGCCGAGCCAGTAAACCAGGAGCAGAGTAGGAGAACTCACGGGGGCCAGATCCCGAAGGGCCCTGACGTGGGCCAGTGGGAGGACCTGGGCTTTGAGGGGGAAGAACTCTGAAACTGAGCAGAGGAAGGACATAAACTGACCTGGGTTTTCACAATACATCTTTGGCTGCTGAGCAGCACGAGACTGTTGGGGTAAAGGCAGGAACACGGAGTCTGCTGCAATAATTGAGCTGGTGAGAAGCGTGGACTCCAGAGAGACGCATGTGCAAGATGGCGTCAATAGGAGTCACTGATGGACTGACCTCAGGGTGTGAGAGATGAGTGACAGTTAGCTCTGAGGTCTCTGACTTAACTAACGAGACAAAACGTGCTTGTATATTTAAGGGGCCAACTGAACAAAGTGGACACTTGGTAGCTCCAGCCCAGTGGAGGGCCGTGGTGTGTGAAACAGCTCCATGGGGGCAGGCTGTTTATGTCATCGCCCACACGCACTGCATCTGTGTCCTGGTACCTTGTGATCTATGTCAGTGTCCTCCAGAGCACAACACAGAATGCAGAACATGCTCCTGGAGGTGGGTACTGTGTGGGCCCGGACGGACAGTCTTTAAGGACTTGGTCGTCTTCAGCACATAATCACAAGAAGAGCATCTCTTCCAGCAAGACTACAGTGTGGCGAGGGTGAGGTACTGTCATGGAACAGAAACAGTATTATAGAGGAAGACAGTTCAGCTGAGTCCTGGCTCTGCCACCAAGCTGTGTGATGCTGGGCAAGTCACTTCATCTCGCTGAGAGGTTTTCTCATCTATAAAACAGGAATACGACGACCAGCCTTATGAGTTAGTGTTGTGGAGATTTTGTTTCCACGCCCATCTCCTTCCTGGATTTGTAAGCTGCTTAAATACATGGTCTGCCTCTTCTTTTTTTTTTTTTTTTGAGACGGAGTCTTGCTCTGTCACCCAGGCTGGAGTGCAATGGCATGGTCTTGGCTCACTGCAACCTCCACCTCCTGGGTTCAAGCCATTCTGCTTCAGCCTCCTGAGTAGCTGGGATTACAGGCGCCTGCCACTGTGCCCAGCTAATTTTTGTATTTTTAGTAGAGACAGTGTTTCATCATGTTGGCCAGGCTGGTCCCGAACTCCTGACCATGTGATCCACCCGCCTCAGCCTCCCAAAGTGCTGAGATTACAGGTGTGAGCCACCACGCAGGGCCCAGTCTGCCTCATTTTATCTTTGTATCCCCAGATCCTGCCATGGTATCTTGGTTTGAACTAATTGTTGGAAAAATGAATCAAAGTATATGCTACTATAAAATTCAAGTGATTTGAGTGACCAGTTCGTCACTGGGGTTAAGCGCTGGATCTAGAGGTTACATAGATAAAATAGTGATCTCAATTTCCACATAGTCATGGACCGAAGGGTGGGAGTTTTGACCACAACAGACACTTGTCCATGGCAGCGAGGCACAGCAGCGATGAAGAGCATGGACTTGGAGTCAGGTGGCCCTGGATTTACACCTGCTTCTGCCCTTTACAAATTGGACAACCTTGGCCAAGTTATTTCATGATTACGAGCATCAGTTTTCTGTAAAATGGGGCTAATCCACCCTTTTTGGTATTGCTGGGAAGATGAAAACAGACAGCAAATACAAAGTGATTAGAACAGGGGGCAAAAAGTAAGTTCTCAACTCCTGGTGGCCATTATTAGAAGCACTCTAATGATAATATTATTACTATTAGAAGAATGTACTCCAGGCTGGGCATGGTGGCTCATGCCTATAGTCTCAGCACTGTGGGAGGCCGAGGCGGGCAAATCACCTGAGGTCAAGAGTTCAAGACCAGCCTGGCCAACATGGTGAAACTCCGTCTCTACTAAAAATACAAAAATCAGCTGGGTGTGGTGGCAGGCACCTGTAATCCCAGTTACTAGGGAGGCTGAGACAGGAGAATTGCTTGAACCCAGGAAGCAGAGGTTGCAGTGAGCTGAGATCGTGCTTCTGCACTCCAGCCTGAGCAACGGAGCGAGACTCCATCTCAAAAAAAAAAAAAAAAAAAGGTACTCCAAATGTCCAGCATCTTGCCCAGCACCCAGTAGGTGCTCAATAAATAACAGCCCCTCTTATCAGCAGCTCCATCTACTTTGATCAGCAGGAGATTTTATGATGTCACAAAAACAGTAAGTTGTAAAGCTGATACCTTGGATACCACTTCTCATGTGAATATCTTTTCATTCGTTGGTCAAAGTGTGTTCATATTTGAGACTCAAAACAACTCTAGGAATTGGGTGTTTTACAGATAAGAAAATTGTAGCTACTGAAGTTATGTTATTTGTCCAAGACCAGCACTAACACCGCAACTGGAGTGGGAAGCTGCTAGAATCCCGGCCCCCTCACTCATTAGAGAGGTGTGTTTTGTGCAAGTTCATTCATTCATAACCATTTTCCTGAGTCCTGAAGATACTGTGGTAAAGGGATAGTTGAGAGTCCAGCCTTCATGAAGCTCACATCATAGAACCTCTCGCTCAATAAATCTTTGTGGGGCAAGTATAAGCCAGGATTGACTTAACATGCTGGGGATGCAGGGGTGAAAGAAAAAGAGATACAAGAGGCAACTGTAGGAAGAAAGAAAAGCACTATCTATGAAGGGAATCACACCAAGTATGATGATGGCGAGGAGAAGGCAGGTAGCCCAGACTTGAAAGATGGAGAAAGCTCTCCTAAGAGGTGGGCGGTGTCTTAGCCATATTAAAAAATGAAAAACAAGGCTGGGCGTGGTGGCTCATGCCTGTAACCCCAGCACTTTGGGAGGTCGGGGTGGGCAGATCACAAGGTCAGGAGTTTGAGACCAGCTTGGCCAACATGGCGAAACCCCATCTCTACTAAAAATACAAAAATTAGCCATTGGGAGAGAGTCATTTACACTCATCCCTGATTTAAAATGTGCCACAATAATTTTTAGACCCATCTCTAGATCTGGTATAATGTATTAACAAAGAAGCACATACATCACAAGTTTGGTTGTTGACTATCACGATAATTAAATTTCGGTATCATTGGTTTTCTTTGTAATCTTATATGTTGCATTTCATGCATTTAGAACATTACACTGAGAAGAAAATCAGGCTTCACCAGGCTGATATAGAAGGACATGGTACAAAGCAGGGTTAAGCACTGCTGCGTTTGTTTGGAAGGACTTACAAGCTCTTCGCTGATCCATTCACTGCCCTCCTCTCCCTTCCTTCCCTCCTGCCACACTGCATTTCTTGTAGTAGGCTCTAAACTATAGTCTGTCCTCCCACCCCCAGTACCATGACCGCAGTTTTCTCTACAAGTTCTATATACAGATCTGCCTTTCCATCTCACTCATTAGCAGTGGGAACTTAAGCAAGGTACTCACATCTCACTGTACCTAAATTTCCTTATCTGCACAGTGCGGGTAGTGGTAGTACCCACCCCATAAGGTTGAGAATTAACTGAGATGATGCAATCTACAGTGCTTGGCACATCTCAAAGGCCCAAAAAATGGTGGCAAATATGTAGTTGGTCTTTCCACATGGACTGCTTTCCTCCTCCTGCCTAACTCTTGCTCTTTTTTTTTTTTTTTTTAAGACTGGGCCTCAGTCTGTCACCCAGGCTGAAGTGCAGTGGCACTATCACAGCTTACTGCAACTTTGACCTCTCCCTGCTCAGGTGATCCTCCCATCTCAGCCTCCCAAGTAGCTGTATTTTTTTTCTTTTCTTTCTTTCTTTTTTTTTTTTTTGTAGAGATGGGGTTTCATCCTGTTGCCCAGGCTGGTCTTGAACTCCTGGGCTCAAGTGATCCTTCTGCCTTGGCCTTCAAAGTGCTGAGATTACAGGTGTGAGCCATTGTGTCCGGCTTCTTGTTTTTGCTTTTGCTTCTTTTATTTTTTGAGACAGAGTCTCACTCTATCACCCAGGCTGGAGTACAATGATGCAATCTCGGCTCACTGCAACCTCCGCCTCCGAGTTCAAGCAATTCTCCTGCCTCAGCCTCCTGGGTAGCTCCGATTACAGGCGTGCGCCACCACGATGAGTGTAAATGACTTTTTCCCCAATATCTTATTATCGATAAAAGGATATATTGTTATATGTATTTGCAAAGAGTATAATGAGATATGAAAATCTGTGACTTCCGCTGGGATAAAGTAACGGTAGCGTCTCTTTCCATCACGCAAGCAATAAGCCTGAACTTATGCAACATTTTTTCATTCCAAATTCAAGAGCCCGCTAGATTCTATCCATGATTAGGTCCCTTGATGTTGAGGGGTTCTGTATTTATTCCCAGGACACTAGGGAGTCGCGGTCAGAGTGATGTGCTGGACACTGCTCGTTGGCAACTTCAAGGGTGGGAGAATGTGTTGCAGGTGGGGAAAGGCTGGCTGCGAGAATACCGGGAGGGGGCTGTTGCAGTCAACTCGAAGAGATGGCGGCCTTCCCAGTGTGCGGCAGAGGATAGACTCAAAGAAGCGGAGTCAAGACATTTAGGTACCTCAGTATCCCTGACTGGGATAATGAAACACCCTCCCTACTGCACCTGCCCATGCTTTCAATCTGCACTACAGCCAGTCCCTGGCGCTCTCTCAGGGAAGGAAGCCAAGTTGCAGTGACTCCCTCCTCACCATCCTCTCAGGCTTCAGGGGAAGAACCCACACCCTTCAGCCAGTCTCCCCAGTCATATCCCCTACCGGCTCTTGGCTTCACTGCCCCGTGCGGCCGTTGCTCCAAGCCCCAGGCCTGCATTGCTGCCTCGCGGCACCGCGCCAGCTCCTCCGCATCGCTACTGCTGCTACTGCTTTCCGAATCGCTCATAGTGCCATTGGGCGCCGCCATCTTGAACTACCGCAAAGAATTGTGGAGAACACCTCCATTAACAACCTTCCTGCACGACCACACGTCGAGGCGCGTGGCATTGTGGGGATTGTAGTTCTACTACTTGGGCCGCCATAGCCCATGACCTGTACCGGGTTGGGGATACCAGGTGGGAATGGGGAGGTGGGCAGTTCTCAAACGCGAGATCTAGAATGGCCTAAGAGATTAACTTCTCCAATCTTTTATTGATAAAGAGATCTCCGTGGGGGAGGGAATCTCCTTAAGGAGTTAATGACAGAACCAGGATTAGTTCCCAGGTTTTGATTTTGTCATTTATTCTAGTAATTTCCCAGTCCAGTTGGGCCTCAGAAACACCTTAGAGAGATGGTTAAACTGCAGACTTTGGGTGTCACAAAAAATACTAACCGAATCAGAATCTCTGGTAGGTGGGACCCAGGAATCTTTATTTCCTTAACCTAGAGCCTTACTAGTTAGAGTGTAGAAATGCAGAATTCTGGCCCAGTGCGGTGGCTCACGCCTGTAATCCCAACACTTTGAGTGGCCGAGGTGGGCAAATCACCTGAAGTCAGGAGTTCGTGACCAGCCTGACCAACATGCTGAAACCCCATATCTACTAAAAAAAAAAAAAAGATACAAAATTAGCCGGGCGTAGTGGCACATTCCTGTAATCCCAGCTACTTGGGAGGTTGAGGCAGGAGAATTGCTAGAACAGGGGAGGCAGAGGTTGGGGTGAGCTGAGATCTCCCCATTGTATTCCAGCCTGGGACTATGTCCTGAGTCCAGGAGTTCAAGGTTGCAGTGATCTCTGATGGTGCCACTGCACCTCACCTGGTCTATAGAGCCAGACCTTGTCTCTAAAAAAAAAATGAAAGTAATTTAAAAAAAAAGAAATAAAGAAATGCAGAATTCTGGGCTCCACCACAAAGCCACTGAATCAGAATTTGTATTTTAACAAGATCTCTTGGTGATCGGTATGCATATTAAAGTTTGAGAGGCTTCGTCCTCGGTGATTCAGATGCATGGCTTTGGTTTGAGAAACACCCTAGTTTTCTAGGTGTTTAGGGAACTTAAAAAAAACACTGACTCCCAGGACCCATTCAAGACCAAAAAATTAGAATCTCTGTGGTTAAAATACCTCACAGTGAAGGATGAACAAAATCACTTTATTTGTGTCTGTGGAATACTGTTTCATGTTTTATCTTTGAAGACAAGTATGTCAAAACTTTACTAAAACTCTCTGGCCTTGAGCTTTTCTATTCCAAAAAAGAGGAAGGTGATAGATATGGTCGAATGTTTGTGTTCCTCCAAAATTAAATGTTAAAATTGGCAACTAAAATAAACAACAGAGAGACTGATGCTCCAAAAGAAAGTGTTTATTCAAGAATTGCAAGAAATTGCAATTTGAGATATGAATGTTATAGTGGGCTATAGGCACATTAAAAGAGGTTGGAGGGGACGAGCAGGACGGCTCCCGCCTGCAATCCCAGCATTTTGGGAGGCGGAAGTGGGTGGATCGAGACCATCCTGGCAAACATGGTGAAACTCCATCTCTAATAAAAATACAAAAATTAGCTGGGTGTGGTGGCATGTGCCTGTAATCCCAGCTACTCCAGAGGCTGAGGCAGGAGAATCGCCTGAACCCAGGAGGTGGAGGCTGCAGTGAGCTTAGATTGAGCTGCTGCACTCCAGTCTGGCAACAGAGTGAGACTCTGTCTCAAAAAAAAAAAAAAAAAAAAAAAGGTTGGGGTAAGGAGAAATCCACATAAACTTCTTTGAAACAAGTACTGTTGATTACAGGAGCCTGTTGCAGGAGTTGGTGTTAGCTTATTGTGGAGACACCCACTGTTAGACAAATATCCTTATACAAGGGGCTTATCTGTAATACTGTGGTTTTGAGGAATTTCTTGAGATAATTTCTGTGACAGGCATATGTGTGTGAGCGCCCCTTCTTCATGGCCTCCCAGCTCTCCTTTGTTAGAGTTTGACATAAGTGACTCCATTTAGATAATGATAATTTCCAAAAAGTCCTCACTCCCAAGGTGATGGTATTAGGAAGTGGGACTTTGGGGAAGTAATTAGGTAATGGGGCCTGAGCCCTCATGAACTGGATTAATGCCCTCATAAAAGAGACCCCAGAGACACCTTTACCCCTTCCACCATGTGAAGACTCAGTGGGAAGCTGCTATGTTTGAATCAGAAAGAGGCCTTACCAGACACCAAAACTGCCAGTGTCTTGACTTGGACTTCCCAGCCTCCAGAGCAGTGGGAAATAAATGGTTATTGTTATGAGCCATCCAGTGTATGGTATCTTGTTATAGCAGCCCAAATGGACTAAGACATTCACTTTTTCATTCTTTTCTTTTTTTTTTTTTTTTGAGACTGAGTCTCACTCTATTGCCAGGCTGGAGTGCAGTGGTGCAATCCCAACTCACTGCAATTTCCATTTTCCAGTTTCAAGCAATTCTCCTGCCTTAGTCTCCTGAGTAGCTGGGACTGCAGGCACACAACACCATGCCTGGCTAATTTTTTGTATTTTAGTAGAGACGGGGTTTCACCAGGTTGGCCAGGATAGTCTCGATCTCTTGACCTCGTGATCCGTCTGCCTCGGCCTCTCAAAGTGCTGGGATTACAGGCATTTGCCACCATGCCTGGCCATTCTTTTTTTTAAACAAGAATTTTCTCACCGCCTGCAATGTGGGCTGTGCTGGGCATTATGAAGGACACAAAGATGGGGACTGGACCAGCCTTCTGGAAAGGAGGCACTCTTTCTGTCCCTGAAGGCAAACAGAAGTGGGAAATATACTGATTATGATTGCCGAATTGACCAGAGGCTGTTGTGAACCAATTGCAATGTGCATTTTCTATGCTATGGAAGGTGAGTAGCCCAGTAGAAAGCTGGACAAAATGGGAGGGCAAAAGGAAACTATTGCTTGGAGTAAACCCGATCACATGATGTCCTTTGATAATAAAGATGCTGTTCTTTTTTTCTTTTTTTTTTGAGACGGAGTTTCGCTCGTTACCCAGGCTGGAGTGCAATGGTGCGATCTCGGCTCACCGCAACCTCTGCCTCCTGGGTTCAGGCAATTCTCCTGCCTCAGCCTCCCGAGTAGCTGGGATTACAGGCACGCGCCACCATGCCCAGCTAATTTTTGTATTTTTAGTAGAGACGGGGTTTCACCATGTTGACCAGGATGGTCTCGATCTCTTGACCTCGTGATCCACCCGCCTCAGCCTCCCAAAGTGCTGGGATTACAGGCTTGAGCCACCGCGCCCGGCCGCTGTTATTTTCCTACAGTCTCCCGACTATTATGTACTGTTTGTGTATGGGTTTTAGGAGTTGAGGCGATTTTTTTACATTGCATCATCCTCGGTTTCCTATTCTTTGTCTCCTTTTGTCTCAGTTTTCCCAGTCCTCATTTCTTGGAGTTGAGAAGCTCAAATGATCAAGCAATAACCATTAGGACAGCATTAGGCCCTGTGAAAATAAGGAGCACCCAAATGAGAACTAACAAAGGCTGTTCGTTCCCAGTTTCTGATTGGGAATTCATCCTGGAGACCCAGGATGAAGCTGTTGGGGTCGATGGCATAGGCGTGGCTCTCACCATCGGGATCCTTCACGAAGACCTGGATCTGGCAGGGGGATGGTCTCCAGCAGATAGGAACCAGCCACCATCTCTTGCCTTACAGAGATTTAAATAGAGGCAGGAAAACGGGAAGGCTTCAGAGATGCCCTGAGGCTGTTGGTGTAGAGAAGCTGTAAGCACACTGGCTAGAAGTAGGGCTAACCATGTGATTGGTCTGCTGAGCTTATTTGGCTTTCTTGGTTGGTCTTAAATTGGAAGCAGAATGGGAGTGGGGCGGGGAATTAGAGAAGCGAGCAGTTATTGACCAAGTCCTGATGGTTTGGGGTTGATTGACTGTGGGTCAGAATTCTGTTGTCGTACGTGGTGTGGCCACCGTCCATCTGTATATTCAGTCTCTCATCCTCCTCCTGGCAGGGCTGGGATAATTATTTTTTTAAACAAATTTACTTATTTTTATTTTTTAGACACAGGGTCTCACTCTGTTGCCTGGGCAGGAGTGTAGTGGTGTGATCATAGCTCACTGCAGCTGCAACCTCCCGGGCTCAAGCCATCCTTCTGCCTCAGCCTCTCGAGTACCTGAGACTACAAGCACACACCACCAACAACTGCTTATTTTTTATTTTGTGGAGATGGGGTCTTCCTCTGATACCTCAGCCTCCTAAAGTACTGGGATTACAGGTGTGAGCTACCACATCTGGCTTGGGATAACTCGTCATAAAGCTGGTGAAGACCTGGGACCTTCCCAGCCAACAATGGGACAGAGTGGTTCATAGAATGAGTTCTGGAGTAGGTGGCAGAAATGTACAGAGAAGTTTCCCAGAGGAGACTAGCTGGCTGGAAACAGAGCCTTTCCCCCTTTCTTCTCAGAGAGGATGAGGGTGTCACTGTCTTGGACGCCATAGCCCCTCAGACTCAACCAGTCCTGCAGGACTTGGCCTTGGAATTCCAGCTGCTGCTGCTTTTTAGGCAGCCCCTGCTGGTCTTCAATCTGCTCCTTCAGACCCAGGACGAAGCTATTGGGGTCGATGGCATAGGCGTAGCTCTCACCATCAGGATTCTTCACGAAGACCTGGATTTCCGGGGGGATGGCCTCCAGCAGATAGATGTGAGTGTGGGAGAAGATTCCGTATTTGGCTAAGGAGGATCTGCTGCTGAGAAGCTGCCTCTCATCGCCAGGAACCTGGAAGGACAGACGCTGCAGGCCAGAGTAACCCCTGCTCCTCCGGATTTTCTCTTTAATCTTCTTTATGGGCTCATATGGGTTCACGATGAGCTTGAAATTGGGGTAACCCCTCTGCTCCACTGTCACATGGACGTCTCGTGCCCTCTGGAAGGAAGAGGGAGAAGGAGGGGTGTTAAGTCCACACTTCTCTGTCTGATATGCAGACGTTCCCTTCATCGGTCCTTATCGTTACAATAGCAGCAGCAGCAAATGTTCAGGGAGTGGTAACCACTTTCAGGCAGTATGCTGGGCACCTTCCATACCTTAATGCACTGTATTCTCAGAGCATGTCTGTCTGTTGGTTGGTTCTAGTGTTATCCCCATGTTATTGATGAGGAAACTGGTTGAGCAGGGTTAAGTAATTTACCGAACACTAATCACAAAGATAGTAAGGAGCAGGGCAGATTCCATAGTTTGTGTCCTCACCACCTCCAGAGGCTACATTCCAGGGCCTGAGGGCCCCATGGGGCTGGAGAGCACCTGCAAAGTGCTGGTGAGGGTCAGGCCTCTAGCTGATTCTTTCCAGAAGAAATATAAGCCTTGGCTAGGTGCAGAGGCCCATGGCTGTCATCCCAGCAGTTTGGGAGGCTGAGGCGGGCAGATCACTTGAGGTCAGGAGTTTGTGACCAGCCTGGGCAACATGGCAAAACCCATCTCTACCAAAAAAAATGCAAAAATTAGCCGGGTATGGTGGCGTGTGCCTGTAGTCCCACCTACTCGGGTGATTGAAATGGGAGACTTGCTTGAACCCAGGAGGTGGAGGTTGCAGTGAGCTGAGATAGCAGCACTGCACTCCAGCCTGGGCAACAGAGCCAGACTCTATCTCAAAAAACAAAACAAAAGAAAGAAAGAAGAATTATAAGTCTGGCATTGCCAAGTTTTCTGATTTGTTGAGATAAATAATCTTTACACAATTTTTTGTGTATTTGTTTTTTGAGACAGAGCCTTGCTCTGTTACCCAGGCTGCAGCTTAGTGGCACAGTCTGAGCTCACTGCAGCCTTGACTTTCCAAGCTCAAGTGATCCTCTCACCTCAGCCTCCTGAGTAGCTGGGACCACAGGTGCGTGTCACCACATCTAGCTAAGTTTTGTATTTTTAGTAGAGACAGGGTTTCACCATGTTGCCTATGCTGGTCTTGAACTCTTGGGTTCAAGGGATCCACCTGCCTCAGCCTCCCAAAATGCTGGGATTACAGGTATGAGCCACCGCCCCAGCCTACAGTGGTTTTTATATTCAGGAAAAATCCAGAGGCATATATTTTCCAGCCCATGGGTAGGCCTCCTCATTTGGCTGGTAGGTCGCCATTTATAACTCTCTGTACTTTACTGGAGCCTCTGATTCTGCTTTTGCCTTCTGCTCCAAGTAGGTCAGTCTCCTGTTCCTATAAACATCTTGCTCATCCCAGACTCCCATTCTTGACCCCTCATCATACTTTGTCCTCTGTTCTGAGTGTCTGTATCTTTCCCTGTCCCTTAGGGCTCACCTCAACCCCTAACTTCTTTAAGGAATCTTCTCTGGTGACTTCAGTGAACATTTATTCTGCTTCCAGACCCCCAGAGCCTCTGGTTCTGCAGCCTGTTAGCAGTGTGACCTTAGTTAATTAACCTCTCTGAGCCTCAGTTTTCTCTTCTGTAAAATGGCAATAATAGTGATAATGATAACGATGATGATGATACTACGAAACACAGTGGTAATACCCAGCCTCCTTACTTACAAAACTGCACGTGAGGATCAACTGAGAGGGACCCTGGACAAGCATGTTGCAAACTAGAAAGTGTGATGTGAATGAAACAGATGATTGCGATCTCTGCCTATGCCATGGGTTTCACATCACATAATAAGATGACTTCGCATTTTTGTTTGTTTTCAGAATATCTTGTCTTCTCTGGTAATTCTAGCAGTTTTGTGTAAGTTTGTTTCATGGATTTGCTTCCTAACAACATAGGGTGAGTTATTTGAAAGTTGGGGTCGTGTCTTTTTTTTTTTTTTTTTTTAATAGAGTATCCCTCTTGTTGCCCAGGCTGGAGTGCAATGGCTTGATCTTAGGTCACTGCAGCCCCTGCCTCCAGGGTTCAAGAGATTCTCCTGCCTTAGCCTCCCAAGTAGCTGGGATTACAGGCACCTGCCATCACGCCTGGCTAATTTTGTATTTTTTCAGTAGAGATGGTGTTTTGCCATGTTGGCCAGGCTGGTCTAGAACTCCTGACCTCGTGATCCACCTGCTTCGGCCTCCCAAAGTACTGAAATTACAGGTGTGAGCCACCGTGCCCGGCCGAGTCGGGGGCCTGTGTGGTCCCCCAGCCCCCACTCCTACCCCCGTCCCCGAGCTCAGCACTGGCACAGAGTGGCTGATTGAGTTGACTTGGCTGGACCCAACTCATGCACAGAATGATCAGGAACACGAAACTGATTCTCCAGTGGGTTATGGGAAGAATAAAGGAAAGGAGAACAAAAACTTGAAGGTAAGAAACCTGAGGCTCTGAGAGCCAAAGGATCTGTCTACGCTGACAGAGCCGGTGGTGGTGTGGCTGGGCCTCACACGGTGACTCGGGTTCTGCTCTCCATCGACACAGAACTGAATGAGTCAATGCTGACTAGTTATCTGTCATTCTCAGCTTCCAGCCCTTGACTGCCCAGACAGGAGCCGTTACCTTCACGTTCCAGCTGGGGACGGGGTTCTCCCTGTCATCATAGCAGCAGTCCTGTTTCAGGCACTGGGAGGCCCTCTGAGCGACGATGTCCCATCTGTACCCTTCTGCTACATTGTGGGTGGGGTCAGCGGGATCCAGGATGACGGGCCTACAACACAGGGAAAGGGTGCCCAGGCTCGGAATGGTTTGGAGCCTTCAAGCCAGAAAAAAACCTTCTCAGCAAGTATTTAGTCCAGTCGCTGAGCCATCGCGATGTCCATATCCCGCAGATGTTCAGGAGGGCCCCAATCATGGCAGAAGAGTAACAGGATGGAGACAATCCTATTTCCAAGAATTCCTGTCTGGGCCAGGCACGGTGGCTCATGCCTGTAATCCCAGCACTTTGGGAGGCAGAGGTGGGAGGATCGCTTGAGCTCAGGAGGTCAAGACCAGCCTGGCCAACATGGTGAAGCCCTGTCTCTACTAAAAACACAAAAAATTAGCCAGTTGTGGTGGTGCACACCTGTCATCCTAGTTACTCGGGAGGCTGAGACAGGAGAATTTCTTGAACCCAGGAGGCGGAGATTGCAGTGAGCCAAGATTGCACCACCACACTCCAGCCTGGGCAACTGAGCAAGACTCCGTCTCAAAAAAAAAAAAAAAAAAAGAAAGAAAGAAAATAATTCCTCTCTGAGAGAGTGCCTGGGTGTTTGCAAGGAATTGTGGGGGAGAATGAGGCTCCAAGAGGCATGCTAGAGGAGTAACAGATACCCATTCAGGCGGGGGGAGGGGGGCCTCTAAGTTCAGAGCAGGCTTTGCAAGTTTAAGATTAGAGCTGCTACATCGCTTTGGATCATAGAAACACCACCACCAGCTACTGATACCTACTGAAGTACAAGGCCAAATCCTGTGCAAATTAACCTCTTCTAATCCTTACAGATCAGGTAGGGACGGTTGCTTTCGTTGTTGAGGTTGTCTCGTTTTTATACATCTCCCTAAGTTGTTACAGCCAGTAGATGGGGCTCTTACCCATTTACCTCCTTGTGGGAAGTAGAAAAGTTCCCTTTTAAAGTTTCCTTTCTTGTTAAAAAATAAACTATAAGTGTGCTAATGACTCTTTGTTAAGCCTCATCCTTTTTTTTTTTTTTTTTTAAAGACAGGGTTTCACCATGTTGGCCAGGCTGGTCTTGAACTCCCGACCTCAGGTGATCCGCTCACCTTGGCCTCCAAAGTGCTTGGATTACAGGTGTGAGCCACCACGCCTGGCCATGTTAAGCCCCATCCTATGTAGCTGTTAGACATGCCGTGCTTACAGGCACGTAGTACCTTCTATGTCCTTTTACTTTAACCAAGATATCTGTGCTGGACATGCTCCCAGGCATGTCCCAGCTCTCCAGTGCTTTTACCTGTTTAGAAAAGTTTTAAATTGTTAGCCAGTAGGGTTTTAGTTTAAATTTTGAGGTCTGGTTCCAACCAGCGGAGATCAGACACAGCAGTAAGAACAACCCCAAATGCGTATGGGATAAATTTGTCCGCTTTTCCTTTGTTCATTGTACTCTGGTGGCAAAACAGCAGTACCCTTCCTGCCGTCCAGGAAATAAAAACTGCGTTGCTAAAAAAATCCATCGTCTCAGTGCTGACTTTCTCTGCAGCACCGAGCATCTATTTTCAACACCGCTCAACAGAGCAGAGGTTGAGCTACCCCCAAGAGTCTCTTCTTTCTATAAATATTGAATAAATATTTTAAAGAATATTGGCTTGAAGGGGATCTTGAGCCTGCTTAGTAACTTGGGGTGACTGCAAGCCCATGGTTAAGACCAGCTCTTCGGTCAGGGTGTGGCAGCTCACGCTTGTAATCCCAGCACTTTGGAGGCTGAGCTGGACAGATCACTTGAGGTCAGGAGTTCAAGATGAGCCTGGCCAACGTGGCAAAACCCCGTCTCTACAAAAAATACAAAAATTAGCAGGGCATGGTGGCAGTTACTGGAGAGGCTGAGGCGGGAGGATCGCTTGAACCCGGGAGGTGGTGGCTGCAATGAGCCAAGATAGTGCCACTGCACTCCAGCCTAGGTGGTAAAGCAAGACTCTGTCTCAAAAAAAAAAAAAAAAAAAAGAGTATGGAATGAGACCTGGATTCCTTCCATCTTTAGGGTGAGTGAGCTGTGGTATTTATCCACCAACTCCTACCAGATCTGGTGCAGGGCTGCTTTCGGAGTGGGTCTGCTGGTGTGGGGGAAGCTCAGGCAAAGGGATGCAGGTGCCGGCAGTTGGAAGTGGAGCCATCCTTCCCTGGAGCAGTAAAGGCCGAGGGGATATGAATGGGATGCGGACAGCACACGCTCCAGTATGAGCATTTACACAGCATCTGCCAGATGCTCCGTATTGTGGATCCTTAACACAGATCTTCTCCAACCCTCACATGGATACTGTATCGTAGGTACCAGTTCACTCCTGCCTTTCGGATAAGGGATTGAGGCTCACAGCGGTGGGAGAATGGCTGAGCTGGGATTTAAACCTGAGGCTCCGAGATTCTTTCCATTTTCTCATGCTAGCTGCTACAAAGTACTGAAATGGTCCTCGAAGAGCAAGAGGGCAGAGCTAAGGTGGAGGGTGGCTTAGGAAACAAGGAACAGGCTTATACCCACTCCATGGCCCCCTGATGACTTTGATCTCAAGCCACCAACTTGAGATGCCAGCTGCGTTGGCGTGAGATGTCAATGCTCAACGCTGGTGGCCACCTTACTGCTTACTGCAGCCAGTCCACAAAACTCTACGCTACATTTCATCAGCTCCTCTTTCTTTTCCTCTGAGATTTGGTGGGCACACAGTGGTCCAGTACCTCTCTTTTTTGAGCTGTTTTCTGACAAAGTCCTCGATGACTGGATTCTGGAGTGTGTAGTACTTGGTCCAGTAGATGCAGATGACTTCATACTCCAGGAGCAGGTCCATCACCGTGGTGAAGCCTTCATCCAACATGAAATTCTCGTTTTCCTCAGTACCCATTTCCCAGGCGTAGATGGTTAGTAGTTCAAGAGCATAGAGAGGGGGTAGATTGGCCCTGGGCGACCTGGCTTTCACATACTGTTGAAAGAGATGGGAAGAAAGAGAGACCCTAAGATTCTGTGTAAGGATGGCATTGGACCAGAAGCTGAGAAATCCAGGTTGTGCAGCCTGCTGTGTGATCTTGGCTAAGTCACATTCCAACTCTGGACATAGGTTTCACCATTTTATTTATTTTATTTTATTTTTGGAAAAAAAGGAGTGAAGGAGAGGAAGAAAGAGGAAGAAAAAGAGGGAGAGAAAATGGGAATGGGGAATGTAGCTTTATTCTAAAAATGGGTATTAATAATGGCCGATCAATATTTTGTGTATTTAAGGTGGAGAATGTATATTTTGTGTATTTAAAATGGAGAGCTCTATAAATATTTATTGAGTTTACTTGTTCCGGATCTGAGTTCAAGTCCTGGATATCCTTATTAATTTTCTGTCTCGTTGAGTCTAAATCTCTTTATGAGTCTCATGTATCTGGGTGTTAGGATCATCATTGATCCTTTTACCACTATATCTTTGTTGCTTTGAAATCTATTTTATCAGATGCGAGAATTGCAACTCCTGCTTTTTATTTATTTATTTTTGCTCTCCATTTGGTTGGTAAATCTTTCTCCATCCCTTTGTTTTAAGTCTTTGTGTGGTTTCACCATTTTAGAATTAAAGGGCTGAGTTAGTCCATTGGGCTTCAATACGTGCTTGACAGATGTAACTCCTGGAGTGAGATTATGAGCAGGTGTCCAAAGGAGTGAGCAGGTTGTGCTCTGTCACAAGCATCCTAGCCTAAGCAGTTCCACTGAAATCCATTTTAATGCACTGAGCTTCTGAGAAATGCTTCTTTAAAGAAAGGAAAGGTTTCCTTAGATAGAGGGAAAAAATGGTAATAGGCAAGATTCTGTAGTGAAGATTGGGGCTGCCTCTCTAGCAGACATTCTTTCCTTCCCCATTGCACAGAAGCCATGATGTTTAAAAGGGGTTGACCGCCACCCTCAGCTCCAGGATGGGCCGTGACTGGTACAGGCCTAACAGCATAAACCTTTCCACTTGCAAGTGATTGGTTCAAGAGAAGGCATGCCGTCTAAGCTGGCTCACTGGAGTAAAGTCTAGTTATTTTGTTCAGTGGTTGAAAGAACGGAAGTCCTCTCGTGTGTGTGTATGAGGGCAGGAACAGTTGTGGCTATTTTGCCACCAAGAGGGCAACAAGTCAGAGGACCAAGTTGACATATAGAGGACTGAGAAGCTGAGAGGATTCCAGAGAAACAGAGTCAGTGCCCTTTCCAAACAGTGCCTGAAGCCCCCTCCCCACTATTTAGGGGTTTTCATACATGAGCTGATAATTCCCTATATTGTTTAAGCTAGTTTGAGTTGGTTTTTGTGTTTTTCTCTTACTTACAAAAGAAAGCTTCTTAACTGATGCTGGTCACTTCCTGTGTTAAGAATCTCACTGAGGGCCGGGCGCGGTGGCTCATGCCTATAATCCCAGCACTTTGGGAGGCTGAGGTGGGTGGATCACGAGGTCAAGAGATCAAGACCATCCTGGTCAACATGGTGAAACCCCATCTCTACTAAAAATACAAAAAATTAGCTGGGCATGGTGGTGCGTGCCTGTAATCCCAGCTACTCGGGAGACTGAGGCAGGAGAATTGCCTGAACCCAGGAGGCGGAGGTTGCGGTGAGCCGAGATTGCGCCATTGCACTCCAGCCTGGGTAACAAGAGCGAAACTCCGTCTCAAAAAAAAAAAAAAAAAAAAAAAAGAATCTCACTGAGGCTCACATCTGTAATCCCTGAATTTTGGGAGGCCAAGGCGGGTAGATCATGAGTTCAGGAGTTTGAGACCAGCCTGGCCAACATGGTGAAACCCCGTCTCTACTAAAAATACAAAAATTAGCTGGGCACAGTGGCGGGCGCCTGTAATCCGGGTTACTAGGGAGGCTGAGGCAGAAAAATTGCTTGAACCCGGGAGGCGGAGGTTGCAGTGAGCTGAGATTGCACCACTGCACTCTAGCCTGGGAGACAGAGCAACACTCCATCTCAAAAAAAAAAATAAATAAAAAGTCTCACTGAGGGCCGAGCACGGTGGCTCTTGCCTGTAATCCCAGCACTTTGGGAGGCCGAGGCAGACGGATCATGAGGTCAAGAGATCGAGACCATCCTGCCAAACATGGTGAAACCCCGTCTCTACTAAAAATACAAAAATTCGCCAGGCATGGTGGCACGTGCCTGCAATCCCAGCTACTTGGGAGGTTGAGGTGGGAGAATTGCTTGAATCTGGGAGGCAGAGGTTGCAGTGGGCCAAGGTCACACACTGTATGTACTCCAGCCTGGGTAACAGAGGAAGATCTTGTCTCAAAAAAAAAAAAAAAAAGAATCTCACTGATACATTGATAGAAAGTGAAAATTTTGGTGAAATACTCAGTGGTTTGATTTGTGGAAGCAAAACTGACATATTTTCCTGTGGCCATTATATATATTATATCACATTCCACAGCTAGAGAGAAAAAAACTGTAACACTTTGGCCTTGAAACAAACAAATAAACGCAGGATCATCTTGTATAATTCTCACCTCCCCAGTCAGTGAAAGCTTGGGCCTTCCCTATAGGTCACTGACTCACTAACAAAAACACTTTATCCCTGACTTTAGAAATTCCATTTTAAATTCAAATTTATTTGTAAGTTAATGAATTTGTTTTGTGACCTTTTTCAAATTCATACTTAACACTCAATTTTGTAAATCATAACTAATAACATTATAATTTTGTTAGGAATTTAAACTTATGGTAATACAACTCATTTTCTCCAATACTAGTGAAACGTTACATTCTTAAAACTTAGATGATATATAAAATGTAGGATGCCTGTCATCGGTAAGATGTAAGCCTTAGTAAATGGATTTAAAAAAAAAACCCAGGTCAACTTACTTCACTTCCCGGCTCAACTGATCCTTCGGCCTCAGCCTCTAGAGCTGCTGGGACTACAGGTACCCGCCACCATGCCCAGCTAATTTTTGTATTTGTGTAGAGACGGGTTTCACCGTGTTGCTCAGGCTGGTCTTGAACCCTTGGGCTCAAGTGATCCTCCTACCTCAGCCTCCTAAAGTGTTGAAATCACGGGCGTGAGCCGTGACATCTGGCCACGAATTGTTTTTTCTTTAAATCCCTGTTATGTTTTATTTTTATTGGCTCAAATCTTTCCTTCTGCTGTCTGATTCCTTTGTAACTTCTCTAAGTTTTACATAATAAATGATTTTTGTCTCTGAGTTTTGTTTTGCAGTTGGAGTTTCCATTGATTATCTTGGGGGAAGATTTTTGCTTCTAAAACTGACTGAGCTGTTGCCTGACAAATGTCCCCGGGGGCTGTTCACACTCACACAGGCCTTCTTTTCCACTCCTGGGGTGGAATTAAAGAAATCCTTCCTCCTGTTGGTCCTTAACCTGCTGTGGTTAACGGCCACGGTACCCAGCGATGTTGACATCTGCCAGTCCTAGACTGTAACTGAAGCATTACAAGAACTGTGGGCTGGGTGTGGTGGCTCATGCCTGTAATCCCAGCATTTTGGGAAGCCAAGGTGGGAGGATCGCTTGAGACCACTTGGAAATCAGGCTGGTCAACACAGTGAGACCCTGTCTATACAAAAGAAAAATAAAAAGTTAGCCAGGCATGATTGTGCATGCCTCTAGTCCCGTTACTTAGGAGGCTAAGGTGGGAGGATCACTTGATCCAGCGAGGTGGGGGCTACAGTGAGTGGTGATCTCACTGCTCACTCTAGCCTAGGCAACGAAGCGAGACCCTGCCTCAAAAAAAAAAAAAAAAAAAAAAAGAACTAGTTTACTGAAATACTGTATGGTACCTGCTTTTCTCCTTCCTTCTCTATTTCTTTCTTCCTCCTCCTCTCCTCCTTTTCCACCTTCTTCACTGAGGGTTTCACTTTACATTTCAAAAGACTAGCATTCTCTCCCTCTCTACCCGATTCCATTTCCCCTGGGCGCAGTTTCCGGAGAGGAAAATCAGGCTCTGTCTTTCCTCCCCACCCTCCTTCCTCTCCCCACTTGCCCCTGCCCTCCAGGCAGCCCCTCACCTGCTGGTACCAGTGCTTCACCAGGCGCAGGAGGCTCTTTAGCTTAGTTGGTCGATGTTTCACGAAGTTTCGCTGCAGTTCGCTGAAGGACGGGGAGAAATTTCCAGGAACACCGCAGGCGTTGATCAGGCTCACATAGACCTCAGCGGGTGGCTGGGTGTTGGGAACAGAAGGCCCTGAGGAGTGAGGGAGAGCCTGCTTATTCAATGGAGTTATCCCTCCAGGGACACTTGAGACCTCCTATCTTCAAAACCAAAGGTCTGCCTTCTCTAATTGTCCTTTTTGTGAAGTTCTTACTTGGGGAACCAACATGGGGCTTTGCACGAGTCAGGCCACTCCTGGACTATCGTCCTCCCTGGATGTCCTCAATATCCTCGTTTTCTTTAATGTCTGTTTCGGATCTCTTTCTGGGTAATCTGTTGGAACCTCTCAATACTTATAGGGATGCTGGGCATGGTGGCTCAAGCCTGTAGTACCAGCACTTTGGGAGGCCAAGGCAGGTGGATCACCTGAGGTCAGGAGTTTTAAACCAGCCTGGCCAACATGGTGAAACCCTGTCTCTACTAAAAATACAAAAATTAGCTGGGCATGACATGGTGGCTGGCGCCTGTAATCCCAGCTACTCAGGACGCTGAGGTTGGAGAATCGTTTGAACCCGGGAGGCGGAAGTTGCAGTGAGCTGAGATCGTGCCACTGCACTCCAGCCTGGGTGACAGAACAAGACTCAGTCTCAAAAAAAAAAAAAAAAGAAAGAAAGAAGAAGAAAATACTCACAGGGAGAAGCAGTTCCGTGGTACACGTCACTGAGACAACCCAGCGCTCTCTTCCTTGCTAAAATTGGGTCCTGTCTGTTACCTTCTCCAAAAAGCAGCTCTGTGCAGCAGCCACCACAGCCAACAGGAGTTAGCACACGAGATGAAACCTCTGGGATCTGGGCTTTCAGCACACAGGGTTTACTTCCAATACCTAGGACTCTACCAGAGGACAAACACCAGGGGCCAGTGAGTTGTGCTCCTGGAAGCAGCCCCAGGCCAGTGGCGGACCAGCAAGCACTCCAGCGTCCCACTTGGCATCCCATGGAGGGAGCTCTATAATATGACTGCGAGTTCTCCAAGGACACGAAGTCCAGAGTGGTGACGCCCACGGATGCACACTGTATTGAATTCCTGCATTTCCCATCTCAGTTCCATTCTTCCCCACCAGTATTGGGATTAATGCCCAAATAAATTGCTTGTCCTCACACCCTTGTCTTTGGATCAGCTTCTAGAAAATGCGGTGACAGACCCCCACTCCCGCTTTTAGCTCCTTCCCCTCACTGGGTGTCAGCGCCTCCTGAATGTTCTTTCCCAAGAAAGTCCCTTCCTGAGCACCCTTTCTGTGGTTTCCAGGCCACCCCATTCTTTTCCTCTTAGCACTGACACCATTTGCAATCATGTATTAATCTGCGCTATTCTTGGGTCAATTTCTATCTTCCAAGTTGAGCACATGATAGCCAGAGTTGGGTGAATCCTGTGCGCTGCAGTAACCCGGCCCCTAGCCCAGGACACAGATGGAATGAATGAATGTGGGTGTGTGCACGTGGCTGTGAGTGAAAGATGACACACTGGGAAGTCTCCTCGGGAGGGCAAGTGTTGAGTCCACTGGGCTTCCCCTCCCCTTACCCAGGGCTCTGTAGGCAGGCACGATGGTGACAGTGATGGGCTCCGCAGCCTGCCAGGCCTGGATGGTGAAGACGAGAGCATCAGGGACTCTCTGCTCCACCCGCAGGTCCTCGAGCCCGAGAGCCAGCAGGTCCTGGGATTGCCACATGGTTTTCAGTAATAGCCTCAGAACAGCTTGGTGGTGTGTGGCTGCCTCCTGGAAGCTGTGGAAACAGCTCAGAAACGCCACCAGCTCCACCTCTCTTCTGCTCCTGAGAATCGTGCCATTCCCGAAGGAGCCCACCTGCAGAACACAGAGCCCCGTCACCCTGAGGCCAGCTGCCGTGTGCCAGGCACCCCCTGCGGCACTTTACATGCACTGTCTCACTGAATGCTCACACTCCCTGAGGGATGGGTAGTGGGTCAGACTAATACCCACACTTCACAGGTGAGAAAACAGGTATCTCGAGGATCTCGAGACACTGGATCGAGACATGGGGCAGCCTGAAAAAGATCCTGCCTCTTTCCTACTTCTTATCTGGGTAAACATTCTGACTCCTACAACCTTCACCCGTAAAATGAAAGTAATGGTGGACCATGAGTCATTGAGCTACTGGGAGGACTGGATGAAATGTATGCGGGGTTTGGTGGGGTGCCCGGCACACAGGAAGTCAGCAACACATTGCTCTTTCTCCTCATTAGTCACTTGTCCCGGATCTCACAGTTTGCAGCCCTCAGAGCCCAGCCTCATTTTTTCTGTGTGTGACAGTTCACTCCCATTGCCCAGGTTGGACTGCAGTGGCGCGATCTTGGCTCAAGCAATCCTCCCTCCTCAGCCTCCCAAGTAGCTAGTACTACAGGCCTGTGCCCCAATGCCTGGCTAATTTTTGTACTTTTTGTAGAGATAGGGTTTTGCTGTGTTGTCCAGGATTGATCTCCAACTCTTGGACTCAAGAGATTTGCCCCCCTCGGCCTCCCAAAGTGCCCAGCCTCTTATCTATGACACTGCATTGCTTCTGAGACGCAGTCTTCTTATCCACAGAGTGAGGCCAGCTCCAGAGGAATGATAGCGTTTACTCTGTAGGGTTGTTTGAGAATTCTGGGGGTGGGGTCCTGAATAATTTCATGGTATTATAAAGCAAGAGGAAGTTTGCCTAGTGCATTTAAGATCCATAGGCTGTGAAATGGGGCAGCCTGAAAAAGATCGTGACTCTTCCCTGTGTATTTTGTTCTTTTTTTGAGACGGAGTTTCGCTCTTGTGCCCAGGCTGGAGTCCAGTGGCATGATCTTGGCTCACTGCAACCTCCACCTCTTGGATTCAAGAGATTCTCCTGCCTCAGCCTCCTGAACAGCTGGGATTACAGGCGCCTGCCACCATTGCCAGCTAATTTTGTATTTTTAGTAGAGAGGGTGCTTCTCCATGTTGGTCAGGCTGGTCTTGAACTCCTGACCTCAGGTGATCCGCCTGCCTTGACCTCCCAAAGTTCTGGGATTACAGGCAAGAGCAACTGTGCCTGGCCCTCTTCCCCGTTTCATATCTGGGTAAACATTCTGACTCTTAAGACCTTCACCTGTAAAATGAAAGTAATGCTGGGACATGAGTCATTGGGCTACTGGGAGGATTGGATGAAATCATGTATACCAGGGGTTTGGTGGGGTGCCCAGCACGCAGGAAGTCAGCAACACGTGTCTCTTTCTCCTCATTATCTAGCTGACTTAGACAATTCTTTCTGCTGTCGGGGGGGGTCGGTTTTCCTGTCAGTAATGGAAGGGGGTTGAGATGGATGATTTTGAAGGGATTTTTTGATGTTTGGAGATTCTAGATGAGCTCTCCCGGCCCTGTTGCCTCTGGTATGCAAAGCCCCACAACGACTGTCCTCCTCTCCTCATTCCGTGTTGGGAGATGGAATTGCTCGGGAGGCATCAGACCCACAGTGGGCCACTTTTCCTGGTGGACAGAGTTACTGCACATGAAGCAGAATCCAGCTGTTGCCAGATGACACAACACAGGCTGAGCATGCCCTGTGCCTGGCACTCCTGAGAGCCTTGTATACAATTATTCCTTCTAATCTTCACTTCCTGCCCAGGCTCGGCGGCTCATGCCTATAAAAATTCCGGCACTTTGGGAGGCCTTGGTGGATGAATCACCTGAGGTCTGGAGTTCGAGATCAGCCTGGCCAACATGGTGAAACCCTTGTCTCTACTAAAAACACAAAAATTAAAAGAAAAATAATAATTATCTGTGATCGCCAGCTAAAAGAAAAAAAAAGAGGCCGGGCGCGGTGGCTCACGCCTGTAATCCCAGCACTTTGGGAGGCCGAGGCAGGTGGATCATGAGGTTAAGAGATCGAGACCATCGTGGCCAACATGGTGAAATCCCGTCTCTACTAAAAACACAAAAAATTAGCTGGGCATGGTGGCGTGTGCCTGTAATCCCAGCTACTCAGGAGGCTGAGGCAGGAGAATTGCTTGAACCCAGGAGGCGGAGGTTGCGGTGAGCCAAGATCGTGCCATTGCACTCCAGCCTGGGTAACAAGAGTGAAACTCTGTCTCAGAAAAAAAAAGAAAAAAAGAAAAAAAAGAAAAACCAATAAAATAAAATAAAATAAAAAAATTAGTCAGGTGTGGTGGTGAATGCCTACAATCCCAGCTACTGGGGAAGCTGAGGCAGGAAAGTCGCTTGAACTCAGGAGGCAGAGGTTGTGGTGAGCCAAGGTCTCACTGCTGCCCTCCAGCCTGGGCAACAGAGTGAGATTCTATCTCAAAAAAACACAACCCCCTCCAAAAAAACTTCACTTCCCATACTGAGGTGGGTACTAGGAGAATTCTCTCCAATGTACAGATGAGAAAGCTGAGGCAGCGTGGAGTTAATCAGCTTGCCATGGTCTCCCAGCCAGCAGGCAGTGGAGTCAGCGAAAGAGCCAGAACTCAAGTAGTGAGTGGTTCTTCGGCCTCTTTCTTCCTTGTGACCCAAGGCTGTGAGCCAGGCCCTGCTTCTGAGGTACCATGGGCATTCAGACCCGGCACTTCCACCCCATGGGAGAGGGTTGGAGATGGCACCCGGTGTGTGAATGAGGGACATAACCCCCAAAAGCTATGTCTAGACCTTCCTTTCTTTTTTGACAGGGTCTTGCTCTGTTGCCCAGACTGGAGTCAATGGCACAATCTTCACTCACTGAAGCCTTGGCCTCCTGGGCTTATGCAATCCTCCCACCTCAGCTGGAACTGAGTAGCTGGAACTATGGGCATTCACCACCATGCCCAGTTAATTTTTTGTATTTTTTTTGTAGAGTTGGGGGTCTCACCATTTTGGCCAGGCTGGTCTCGAATTCCTGGGCTCAAGCAATCCTCCCACCTTGGCCTCCGAAAGTGCTGGGATTACAGGAGCGAGCCACCGAGCCTGGCCCAGACTTCCCTTTCAGCCTTTCCCACTGGTAAGATCCAGGCAGAGAGAAAAGAGCACATCCAGAGCAGGCATCCTAATTTACTTCACTTTTAAACCTATTTAAGCACAATTCATTTGAAGCATTCCCTTATGTGGAGCCCCTCTGCTCACTAGATGTTCAGGGGGTGGGGAAAAGGAGGATTTAGACTCTAAATAAGATATATCATTTCTCATTAGTCATGGCTCTCTGGGGATTGCTACCACTTAGTGGTTTCAAGGGGAGGAGTGGCTATGATGTGCAGGAAGGTAAATAGCATTCCCTGCCGTAAAAACTCATTCTTGGCCAGGCTCGGTGGCTCATGCCTGTAATCCCAGCACGTTGGGAGGCTGAGATGGTAGGATCACTTGAGGTCAGGAGTTCAAGACCAGCCTGGCCAACATAGTGAAACCCTGTCTCTACTAAAAATACAAAGATTAGCCAAGTGTGGTGGCACACTCCTGTAATACCAGCTACTTGGGAGGCTGAGGCACAAGAATCAATCTCTTGAACCCTGGAGGCGGAGGCTGCAGTGAGCCGAGAGTACGCCACTGTAATCCAGCCTGGGCAACAGAGCAAGATTCTGTCTCAAAAACAAATGAATAAAAACCAAAACAAAAAAACTCATTCCTGTAGCATCCTTGTCTTGCCAGACACTCCTTATTCCTTCCACTTTATTCTCAGGGTTGTCGGGGAGGGAGTGGCCTGGGAGGGTCTGCCGGAGTCAGACTTGTGTCTCAGGCCTGGAAGAAAGCTCGGCAGGAATTATAATGATCTTCTGTTTCTGAGCATTTATCACGCACCAGTCACTCAGCCTGCACTGCACCATTGGCTTGGTGAGGGAGAGACAAGGATGCTGGATGCACCAATCACAGATGAGAAGACTGTGGCTTTGAGAAATAAGAGTGGTAAGCAAAGCCACACAGCAGGTAACGGAAGAAACAAAGAGGCTGTCTGAGATCAAAATTTGTGCTTTCTCACTTATAAATTGTACAGCCTCAGGCTTCACATGCTGGGGACAGATGTGAAGAACAGATAGGGGCCTGCGGCTTCTAGGTCTCTCTGTGAGTTGGTTGCCCTTAGAGAGAGAACTTGATCACTGGGCTGGGAGTCAGGAGTCTTAATTGTAGTCTTGCTTTTGCCTCCAACTTGCTGTGTGACCTTGAGATATCTCTCACCCTCTCTGTGCCTCAGTTTACTTAATATTTAAGTGAGGGATTGGTGAGATGGTCTGATCCTCCAAAGCCTTTCTAGCTCTGACCCTTTTGAATTTGATCCTACCTAGCACAGGAGGTGGCATGAAACAGTTGGAGGAAGGGATTGGAGAAAAATCTCAGTGAGCGGGGGGCTTGGATCCCTTGAGTCAAGTTCAAATCCCAGCTTCAACACTAATGTGTGACCTTGGGCAAGTCACCTCACTTCTCTGAGCCTCTATTAAAAAAATCATTTTACTGGCCAGGTGTGGTGGCTCACGCCTGTAATCCCAGCACTTTGGGAGGCTGAGGTGGGCATATTCTTGAGCCCAGAAGTTTGAGACCAGCATGGGCAACATTGGTGAAACCCCGTCTCTACAAAAAAATACAAAAATTAGCTGGTCATGGTGGCGCGTGCCTGTAATCCCAGCTACTCAGGAGAATTGCCTGAACCCAGGAGGCGGAGGTTGCAGTGAGCCGAGATCGCGCCATTGCACTCCAGCCTGGGTAACAAGAGAGAAACTCCATCTCAAAAAAAAAAAAAAGTTAAAACATATAGAAAAATGGAAAGATGATACAACTAACACTCATACACCCAACTAGTTGATTCAACAAGTGTCAATTTCTATCTACATTTGCTTAATCTAAGCCATGTTAAAGTAAATTACAGACGCCAGGGAACTTTGTCCCTAAATACGTCAGTGTTTGTGTCCAAACAGAACATTCTCCTTGAAAACCACACAAGCACTGTTCCACCTAACAAAAACCAACAATTTCCCACATCAGATACATACACTATCTGATATCTAGGCCATATAGAAATTCCCCCGTTGTCCCCAAACTGTATTTTACAGATGGTTCATTCACACCAGGATCCAGCTAAGGACCTTGCTTTGTATTAGTTCTGAGCCTCCATTTTGCTAATCTGTAAAGAATAGTACCTATCTCAGGTCAGGCACCATGGCTCATGCCTGTAATCCCAGCACTTTGGGAGGCTGAGGCAGATGGATTGCCTGAGGTCAGAGTTCAAGACCAGCCTGACCAACATGGAGAAACCCTGTCTTAGTAAAAATACAAAATTAGCCAGACGTGGTGCCTGTAATCCCAGCTACTCAGGAGGCTTCTCTTGAACCCAGGAGATGGAGGTTGCAGTGAGCCGAGATTGCACCATTGTACTCCACCCTGGGCAACAAGAGTGAAACTCCATCTCAAAACAAAAAACAAAGCACCACCCCGCAAAAAAACCCAACAGTACCTATCTCACAGGGTGCAAGAATTAGAGACAGTGCATATTAAAACGTTAGGCTAGCGAGGCCCCAAATGTGAGCTATCATTATTAGACTCATTCTGCTGAAGGCAGTGGTGCAATAGGGTGTAGACAGCTAGGTGGGACGCGGTGTCCTGAGATGTCATCAGCATGGGCGAGGGATCAGGAGGACAGGGGTCCCCAGCATCCTCAGGGACGTGGACTCTGCTAGTGGGTTTTGTCCTGCGTGGGGAACTGGAGGAGCCCAGTCTTACCTTGATCACCTTCAGCACCTGCACATCCCGGTCCAGCTCATGCTCCCCCTGGAAATTCTCCTGCCTCAGAAACTGCTCCACGGTCCGCACAGCGTCCAGCACCTCTTCCTTCCACTCCCGGTGGGGCTGCAGCCACTGAGCCACGAAGGAGTCCAGCCTGGAGGCTGGTGTGGCATACAGCTCCTGTGTCAGTGCCATCTCTGTACCCAGAGTACCACTGCTGGGCAGATATATAGCCAGACACCTACCCAGCTCCCTGGCACACAACCCCTTTGTTAAGGCGGCTCCTCCTCAGCTGCCCTCCAGTGCTCCGTAGGATGAATGACCCTAGCAGATAGGAAACCAGAAGTGATGGGCTGACTTGGGGTCCCTTCTTGGAGACTCTCTCACTGCATAGAGGCACAGGAGGATGCTAGACTGAGGTCGGAATGCCTGGGGCCACCTTAAAAAGCCTGTCATCTAGTCTATCTCTCTGCTGTCAGTTTCGATTCTCAGCTTTTAGAATTTCCCTTTTATGATGTTTGGAAACTGAAATTGGATAGTGTTTGACCCTAGAGGAGGCAGCTTGCCCAGTAGGTTGGAGTAGGATGGTTGTTAGTCAATTCAATGGCTTAAATATGCCTAAGGAAATCAAGGCAAATAGTAAAAAATGAAAAAACAAAAACAAAAGGAAATCGAGGCTTGGGAACAGAAGGGACGTGCTCATGTTCAGGTGAAGGAGTAGAATCTGGAGTCTGAGAGAACAGATTGGGAGTTCTAGTCCGCCCTGTGCCCGACTCTAGCCTCTCTAATCCCTCACGCTCGCTATTCCTAAAGTGGGTTTAACAGGTATTGTGACCCATGCACTGAACCAAGTTCATGCACTGAGCTAAGAAGATGAAATAAGATGAGGTTCCTGTTCCAAGGGGGCTCCCAGAGCAGTGCGGGAGACAGCTAAGAAAAGAGACTCCAAGACCTGGTGCGGTGGCTCACGCCTGTAAGCCAGCACTTTGGGAGGCTGAGCCAGGCAGGTCACCTGAGGGCGAGAGTTCGAGACCAGTCTGACCAACGTGGAGAAACCCAGTCTCTACTACAATTACAAAATTAGCCGGCGTGGTGGCACATGCCTGTAATCCTAACTACTCGGGAGGCTGAGGCAGGAGAATTGCTTGAACTTCGGAGATGGAGGTTTTGGTGAGCTAAGATGGCACCATTGCACTCCAGCCTGGGCAAGAAGAGCAAAACTCCATCTAAAAAAAAAAAAGAGAGAGGCTCCAAAAGTTCAGTGCGATGTGTGTTAAGTAGGAAAAAAGTATGAAAATTTGGTGGGAAGTGGGCACATGAGTTTCATTTGGTGTTAGCAGACACCTGCTTGAGAGGAATCTTAAAGACCAGAGATCCAGGCTGGGTGGCTCATACCTGTAATCCCAGCACTTTGGGAGGCCGAGGTTAGAGGATCACTTGAGGCTAGGAGTTCAAGACCAGGCTGGGCATCATAGTGGACACCTGCAATTCCCCAAACTCTGAAAAATAAGCACTCCAGGGCTTAGTCCTGGGTCCTCTTCGCTTGTTGCTCTAGACTTACTCCCTTGGTGATTTCAACCAGTGTTTAAATGTTTTTACCCTGGCAACTCCCACATTTTAATTTAATTTTTATTTATTTATTTATTTTTGAGATGGAGTCTCATTCTGTCACCCAGGCTGGAGTGCAGTGGTGCGATCTCGGCTCACTGCAACCTCCACCTCCCAAGGAGCTGGAATTACAGGAGCATACCACTATACCTGGCTAATTTTTTTGTAATTTTAGTAGAGACAGGGTTTCACCATGTTGCCCAGGCTAGTCTCGAACTCCTGACTTCAAGTGATCTGCCCTCTTTCGCCTACCAAAGTGCTGGGATTATAGGCGTGAGCTATCCACCCAGTGACTCTGACATTTGTATCTTAAATCCAGACCTCTTCCCTGAAATCCAGACTCATGTACCCAACTCCCCCCTCCACACTGGCTTTGAATTCCAGTCTGCCCTTTGCCATCTTCATAACTTCTCTGCTTCTGTGGTGAAGATGATTGCAAGGGTAGAAGAAGATGGAGGGAGATAGTCAGGACACTGTGCAGTGGTGCAGCTGAGAGGCAGTGGTGGCCTGGAGCAATCGCTACAAAAATTTTAAAAATAATAGCTAAATGTAGTGGCATGCACCTGTAGCCCCAGCTACTTGGGAGACCACTTGAGTCTAGGAGTTTCAGGCTGCAGTGAACTATGGTGAACTATGATGGCACCACTGCACTCTAGCTGGGCAACAGCATGAGACTCTGTCTCAAAAAAAAGCAATAATAACGACTGGGACTCCAGCCAGGAGGATGAGGGCACAGCATAGATAAAGCCTGAGAAGGGTAAATGACGCTAGGGTGTGCCAGGGACTTCAGTGTCTGTGTGCCCTGGCATGCAAAGGCGAGCAGGGGAGAGGTGAGAAATGTACCTGGACAGGTGGGCAGGACTGAATCTTGGAGTGCCATTCACTCATTCATTCATTCATTCACTCATGCATTCATTCATTCACTCGTTCATTGATTCATTCACTCGTTCATTCAATGATACTTAGTGGGCACCTCCTCTGTGCCAGACAGGTGCTGTGGATACAATAGTGAACAAAGAGTAGTGAAAAATCCCCGCCTGCAGAAAGCTTGCTTTCTGGTAGTGAAGACCAACAATAAATAGGATAAATAAATAAAATTATAGTAAAGAAGATGGTGGTAAGTGCTAAGCATGAAAACAAAGCAAGGAAACGGATTAAGAGGTCGTGTGTGTGTGTGTGTGTGTGTGTAAGGGGGTGTGTATTTAGGTGTTCAGTCTTACATAAGGTAATTAGGGAAGGCCTCCCTGAAAAGAAGACATCTGAGAAAAGACATAAGAAGGTAAAGAAGGCCGGGTGCGGTGGCTCACACCTGTAATCCCAGCACTTTGGGAGGCCAAGGTGGGCAGATCACCTGAGGTCAGGAGTTCGAGACAAGCCTGACCACATGGAGAAACTCCATCTCTACTAAAAATACAAAATTAGCTGGGTTTTCTCCATGTTGGCCAGGATGGTCTCTAACTCCTGATCTCAGGTGATCCACCTGCCTCGGCCTCCCAAAGAGCTGGGATTACAGGCATGAGCCATTGCACGTAGCCAGGATATAGGATTTTCTTTATTTTTTATTATACTTTAAGTTCTGGGGTACATGTGCAGAACATGCTGGTTTGTTACATAGGTATACACGTGCCTTGGTGGTTTGCTACATCCATCACCCCGTCATCTACATTAGGTATTTCTCCTAATGCTATCCCTCCCCTATCCCCCCGCCCCTACTATCCCTCCCCTAGCCCCTCAGCAACCCAAAGTGCTGGGATTACAGGCATGAACTAGTACGCCTGGCCAAGCCCCAAATTTAAGTGATGGGCAGAGGAAGAGAAATGTAGGCAGTACCAGCTGGGGTGGCTAAAGAGAGGGGAACAAACCAGAGTTTAAAAAAGTCATCCACATTGCCCAATGCTTTTGAGAATTTAAGACACACAGCTCTGAGAATTACCCAAGAAAACCACTGGCAATGGAGGTGGGTGCAGTTTTAGGGGAGAGGAGGGAGCTGAAGCCAGATTAGGGTGGGTGGATGGGGGGCACGGAGACGGGAAGTGCAGATGATTCTTTTAAGGAGTTTGTCAATCATGACATATTTCAATTTAGCTTTTCAAACTGGCTAACCCCAAGTGGAAAGCATCACATGTTTTAATCACATCAATTCTAAAAGTTCTTATATTTCCAATGTTTGGTAGTGCTCGATCCTTGAGCAGTACCACGTTCTGAGGATTTAAAGAGCAGTGACAATTTCGCAAAGCTAAGTCAACAATTGGTTAAGGCTCCAAACATCTGCCATATGGTTAGAATGACTGACAATGAACTTCGAAGCAATATAGGAGTTATCCAAACAGTAAGCATTCAGACCTTAACCTATTCATTTCCGCTTCAACTTCATGAAATCGCCGAGGGTTACATAGCTTTCAATGATTTGATCATTAATATGTTGGATGACATTTGAGGATTTCAAAAGGGAACATGAAATCAGTAATGTGTTGGTTTTATGGTTTGTTAAAATACCACCCAGTTGAGTAGGCATCTGCAGGGAGGGAAAAGACCCAGGGATAGGAAGGGGTTGAGCTAGGTTTGGGGCTGGAGAAAGATTCACAAAGATGAGTATTGTCTTAGCTTGGATTCCCACAATGCACAGCATGAGATAGAGTCTTGCTGTCTTGCCCAGGCTGGAGTGCAGTGGAGTGATCTCGCCTCACTGCAAACTCCACCTCCTGGGTTCAAGCAATTCTCCTGTCTCAGCCTCCCAAGTAGCTGGGACTACAGGTACACACCACCACACCTGGCTAATTTTTGTATTTTTAGTAGATATAGGGTATTACCATATTGGTTAGGCTGGTCTCGAACTCCTGACCTCAAGTGATCCACCCACCTGGGCCTCCCAAAATGCTGGGATTATAGGCACGAGCCACCTCGCCCTGCTGAGAACCCCAGTACCTTTAAGCCCTGTCCTATTTTGGTATTGGAGTGATTATTTCCATCTTATCTCCTTTACAGCTTGGTCCGGAGAGCTACCTTAGACTCTCCAATGAATTTATTTAAATAGCTGCCTTTCTGCTGCTGTGTTTTGCTTATCTGGGAGGGAGAGTTTCTGTGTCTGTTCCCAGCTTCTTGCAGCTGCAGAAATCCCCCACACGTCTGCTTCTAGCTTCCCTGTACTTAGTCCGTGCTGCTCTGTGGAAATGTGTCTGTGTAACTGAAGTGCTACACAGGCCTGTCTGTGTGATTGTCAAGGAGAGTTGGCCGGTAGCATAAACTAGCTGGCACCACCCTCTGGCATCATCTGGACTCCTGGATCCACATGACAATTAATTTTAGGTGTCAGGATGCCCAGAGAATGAAATGTTATCCCTAGGTGTGTCTGTAAGGCTATTTCCATAGGAGACTGGCATTTGAATGAGTTCACTGAGCAATGAAGATCTGCCCTCACTAACGGGGGTGGGGGGTAGCATCCAATCCACTGAGAGCCTGGATAGAATAAAAATGTGAAGGAAGGGTGGTAAATTTGCCATCTCTCCTTGGGAGCAGGGACATTCATCTTCTCTTACCCTCAGACATCAGAACTCCAGGTTCTTGGGTCTTTGGACTCTGAGACTTAAACCTCTGGCTCCTCTGGATCTCCAGCTTGTTGATGGCATATTTTGGGACTTTGAAGCCTCTGCAATCATATAAGCCAACGATATGGTTTGGACCTGTGTCTCTGCCCAAATCTCATGTTAAATTGTAATCCCCAGTATTGGAGATGAGACCTGGTGGGAGGTGATTGGATTATGGGGGGGGAGTTCTCATGAACACGATCCCCCTTTGATACTGTATAGTGAGTGAGTTCTTGTGAGATCTGGTTGTTTAAAAAGTGTGTAGGAGGTCGGCAGGTTGATTGCTTAAGGTTAGGAGTTCAAGACCAGCCTGGCCAATATGGTGAAACCCCGTCTCTACTAAAATACAAAAATTAGCTGGGCTTCATGATAGGCACCTGTGATCCCAGCTACTAGGGAGGCTGAGGCAGGAGAATCGCTTGAACCCAGGAGGTGGAGGTTGCAGTGAGCCAAGATCGCACCACTGCACTCCAACCTGGGTGACAGAGTGAGACTCTGTACCCAAAAAGAAAAAAAGAATGAGGACCTCCCACTTCTCTCTCTTGCTTCTTCTCCAGCCATGATTTTAAGTTTCCTGAGGCCTCCCCAGAAGCAGAAGTTGCTATGCTTCCTGTACAGACTGCAGAAGCGTAAGTCAATTACACCTGTTTTGTTTGTAAATTACCCAGTCTCATGTATTTCTTTATAGCAGTGTGAGGCCAGACTAATATGGCCAATTCCCATAATAAATCCCCTCTTCTGTATCTATACTTATATCCTACTGGTTCTGTTTCTATAGAGAACCCTGACTAATACAGTCCAGTTGCGCCTAATGTTAGCTTCCTGTTGGAAACAGACGCTTGGTGCTGCAAAGAACAATTAGCACTGAGACAAAGGATTTTTTAGCAAGCAATTTTTACTTCCTGGACTGCAGGAAGAGTACTCTCGCCAGACATCTTGCCACAAGAGTACAATGAACAAAGGAAAGCAGGTATATTTATCTCGTATGCATTTAGGGTCATCCTTACTGCTGTGTCTGATCTCCATTGGCTGGAGCCAGACCTCACAATCTAAAACTAAAACCCGATTGGCTAATAACTTAAAACTTTTCTAAATGGGTAAGGGGCATAGGCTGTGAGCTGGGACATGCCTGTGGGCACGTCCAGAACAGATATCTTGGTTAAAGTACAAGGACATAGAATATACTACGTGCCTGTAAGCATGGCATGTCTAATAGCTACATGGGATAGGGCTTAACAAAGATTATTAGCACACTTAAGATTTATTCTTGAATAAGAAAGGAAACTTTAAAGGGGGAATTTTTTACTTTCCACACTTCCCCTGGACTCTTATGGGCCCTTATATTCTACTTATTTTGTATTTGTATTTTTACAGTCAGGGTCTTACTCTGTCACCCAGGCTGGGGTGTAGTGCCACAATCATAGCTCACTGTAATCTCAAACTCCTGGGCTCATGCAATCCTCCTACCTCAGCCTCCCGAGTGGCTAGGACTATAGATATGAGCTTACCACACCTAGCTAACTTAAATTTTTTGTAGAGACGGGATTTTGCTGTGCTGCCCAGGCTGGTCTCAAACTCCTGGCCTCAAGTGATCTTCCTACCTTGGCCTCCTAAAGTGCTGGGATTGTAGGTATGAGCCACCGCACCCAGCCCATTCTATTTACTTTTGCTTAAACTGTTTTGAATTGGGTCTCTGTGACTCGAAACCCAAAATGTCCTTATGTTCCAGGGGTGAATGAAATGGAAGGACAAATGGGCAGAAAATTGAAGGCTGGGGAGTGACTGGCAGGCTTGACATGGGGTCTGGATAGAAAGGCAAGTAAACCAGGGTGTAGAAGAAAGGCGTCAGCAGTCCAAGGTCTTTCCTCCTTGAAACCCTAAGACTTTCTTCTCTGAATCCCTTCTTGGAGCCGAATCAAATTCACTGGGCGCCTCCTGGTCCCCCCATGATACTGGGTTCTTGCTAACTCCTATCAGCCTGCTATCTGAAGGCCCCCAAAACTCTACAGAATCGTGAATGCCCCCCTGTTTAAAAGTAGGAAGACTGTGGAGCCCGTCCCTGATGATTACCATAATTCATCTCCTTGTATTTTTTTTTTTGGCCAGAAAACTCAGAGGTCCTGATAAGGCAGCCAGCCAGGCCCCAGGGAGGTATCTGTGAGCGCTGCCCAGGCAGTGAAAGCAGAAAGCAGCTTCCCAGCCTGGAAGGAGCTAGGGCTTCCCTGGAGCTGCACTCAGGCACCAAGTCTGTCGGTTTCATGGTTCTTGCTCTGCTGCTGGTATTCTCTCCTTGTATTCTGGAGAATAGACTACAGGAGATGAATGATGGTAATCATCGGGGGCGGGGCTCCACAGTCTTTCCTACTTCCAGGAAGCAGGTTCCCCGCCTGGAAGGAGCTAGGGCTTCCCTGGAGCTACAGTCAGGCACCAAGTCTGTGGGTCTCATGGTTCTTGCTACAAACAGCTCAGTTGGACTTGTGGGTCTTAGGCGCTTTCTCCTTGTGATATCGGGAGAACCATGGAATAAAGCTGCATTCAGTCCTCAACCCACCCAAAGGACGGAAACCTGCACCAACATGGTCTCATTGCCCAATATCACAACATTTTCTCCATCCTCCTTCCTGGCTCTAAAGCACGAGGGAGATAGCTCCTGGGGATCCTGAAACCAACTGGCAAATGGCAAATGTTGTCAGGGATAAACATGCAAATTTATGCATAAAATAGGAAAGAACACCAATGGTCAGAACTTAATCACATGGTCACACCCGGCTGCAAGGGAGGCTAGGAAATGTCATCTTTAGCCTTTGGCAATGTGCCTAACTAAAAATTCTATTGCTATGAAAGAAAAGGAGAAAGGACATTGAGGGAAAATAGCAATTTCTGCCACAACATTCGTTCTGTTTTTGCCATTTTGGCCCTGATATAGAACTAGGAGTGAGGGAACTGCCAGGACTGGAAAGAATCCAGCTCTTTAGAATTCTCTCTACCCCAACACTAGGATACGAAGGGAGAGTTTGGAGGGGGCAGTGGAAGGACCTAATAACAGCTGGTAGCTGTTGCATTTATTGAGCACTTCTGTGCCAGGCACTGGGTGAAGAATTTCACCTGTGTCATGCTGTTCCAGAACTCAACCAAGACTTCACTCAGTCCTCCTCTAATTCATCCATTCGTTCAACCCATGTTTACTGAGCACCTATTATGTGTTAGCCACTATGTTAGGGACTGGGAGACAGTGGTGAACAAAATGGTCCTCCGTTCTTGCTGAGTTCACAGCAAAGCAAAGTAGTTGTAGCATGAGCTTTGGATCCAGAGTGTCTGGGTTCAATCCGAGTGTATGCATTGTGTGAATGCGGAAGTAATCTAAACTGTCTGTGTCTCAACTTCCCCACCCGGAAAATGCGGATGATGACATTACCTACATCCTGAGGCTACTGGGATGCTCCAAAGAAGTGCTAGATGAAAATCACTCAGCCTGGTACCTGGCACATAGTTGGTACTCAATAAATGTGAGCTATTCTAATGGTGGAGACAAATTTCAAATTGAAATTTTAATTAGATGAGTATGAACAGAAAGAAGAGCGGGGTTCACTATCTGTTAGCAGTGGCTAGAAATCTGGGAGTCTTTTTTTCTTGAGATGGAGTCTTGCTCTGTTGCTCAGGCTGGAGTGCAGTGGTACAATCTCAGCTCACTGCAACCTCTGCCTCCTGGGTTCAAGCAATTCTCCTGCCTCAGTTTCCCTAGTAGCTGGGATACAGGGGCATGCCACCAAACCCTGATGATTTTTTTTCATATTTTTAGTAGAGATGGGGTTTCACCACATTGGCCAGGCTGGCCTCAAACTCCTGACCTCAAGTGATCCACCTGCCTCAGCCTCCCAAAGTGCTGGGATTACAGGTGTGAGCCACTGTGCCTGAATCCTTCTTTTCCCTGGATTATTCAGTCGAAATTTGAGATGTAACTCACACACAACAGATCACACAGATTTGAGGTGCCGTGGATGAGGACGATGTGACTTGCCACCAGACGCCCCTTCAGGACTGGGACACTCATTTCCCAGCTGTTGTGAGTGTTGCTGCTGACAGCTCCTAGTAGAGACCCTGCCAGAGCATTGCCCTCAGACAATGAGAGGTTGCTTCACTCATGATCACGTCCTCCGGCCGGGCATGGTGGCTCATGCCTGTTATCCCAGCACTTTGGGAGGCCAGAGAGGGAGGGATGCTTGAATCTGGGAGGCGGAGGTTGCAGTGAGCTGACATTGAGGAAGGAGACCCTTAATCACCCTTAAGCGTCTGAGACCACCTCCCCCTTGACTTCCGCATTGTATTTCAATAGGGGAAGTAAAGGCTGCCAGACCGGGCGCCACTTCTAATCGCCCTCCTATAGATCACAGGCATGGTATGGAGGAACCTTTCCGGAAGGCATTGCTTTTACTTAAACACGATCAAACCCCCACCTAAGTCATGTACCCCACGCCTACTCCATGGACCAAGACCTTTCACATGTAATTTCTAGAGTTGTAAGCCTTTAAAAGGGCAGGGACTTTCTCTGTTAGGTGAGCTTGGCTATTTGGGGCATTCGGACCCCGCAGCTCCTGGCCAAATAAATGACTACTTCCTTCCCAGTTTGGTGTTGGAGAGGTTTGTTTCACGGCCTTTCATGCCTCAAGATCATATCACTGCCCTCTGGCCTGGGCGACAGGGCGAGACTCCGTCTCAAAAACAAAAAAGAAAAAGAATGGAAAATATCTCTAAGTTACAAAGAGTTCTTACAACTGATGAGAAAGACAGCTCAATGGGAATATGTGTAAATTACATTAATAGCTCCCTCCTGGCCTCAAGTGATCCTCCCACCTCAGCCTCCGGAGTAGCTGGGACCACAGGTGAATGCTACCATACCTGGCTAATTTTCTGTAGAGACAGGGTTTCATTATGTTGCCTAGGTTGGTCTTGAACTCCTGGCCTCGAGTAATTTGCCTACACTGGCTTCTCAAAGTGAGGCGATTGCAGGCCAGAGCCTGGCCTGACGATTCATTAAAGCTGCGTTTCCTTCCTTTTCAGCCTCATTCTCAGCGGCTGTTGCCGTTCCCAGGTAAAGCCTGATTTGCTTAAGATAATGTTAGATATCTTTCATTCTAGCAAAATGAGCCAAATCTAGATTCATAGTCAAGGCATTTTTGACAGGGTCATGTGTTAAAATGACCCACAGCACTGAGCCCTCAAGAACTGCATACAGTTTAGTACTTTCCCAGGGGAAACCATGCTGCAAATAGGCATTGGATTCCATGGTCAACCCCTAACAACCTCTCTGAACCCATAGAATACCCTCTGATATTACTAGGTAGTTTCTAACAAAATCAGTCAGTGTCGTTTTAGAAGGAAAATATATATACACAAAAATATATAAATGGAAATATATCTTAATGACTTTAGGGGTAAAAAGTGGGACTTGTTAAAGAGGAAACAAAAGGCATAAATTTTAATTTCTTTAAAAAATTTAAAAACATATTTAAAAAATTAAAATTTTTAAATAACTGAGACAAGGTCTTGCTGTTTTGCCCAGGCTGGCCTCAAACTCCTGGGCTCATGCGATCCTCTCCCCTCGACTTCCCAGAGTGTTGGGATTACAGGCGTGGGCCACTGCGCCTGGCCAAAAAGCATACATTTTCTACAAACCTGTTACCTGTAACCCACTTGATTGCCTGGCACTCAGACAGCTGCAAATCATCATCATCACCAGATTTGTAGAATAGTTTACAGCTTAAGAGCACTTTCCCATGCTTTGTCGCATTGACCGTTATTAGAACCAGCTTTAGACAGGAAGAGACTGGCTCAGAGAGACAAAGTAACTCATCCCTTACCATTCTGCAGTCCCACAGTTCCACACGGCAGGGCTGGGATTTGAACCCCGAGGATTCCAGAGTGCTTACCTTAGCCACCTTCAGCACCCTGACTTCTTGGTGCAGAATCAGCTCAGCACAGCACTGAGTCCTCAAGAACTGCTCGATTCTGTGCCCGGCATCCTTCGCTCCATCTTTCTAGTGCCCCTGGGGCTGGAGGCTGTGTTTTACGAAGGCACCCAGCCTGTCCCCTGGGTTGTCATACCGGTCCTGGAAGCCTGCCATCTCTGTAGGACCAGGAATGAATCGTCTCTGCCTCTGTCCAGCTGGGATAAGTGGCAGCTCCCAGTCTTTGTCCAGCAGGCCTCAGAACTGCAGATGGGGTGAGTTAGAGAGAGATTTAGCTTTTTGTTTTCTTCTTGAGATGGAGTTTCGCTTTTGTTGCCCGGGCTAGAGTGCAATGGCGGAATCTCGGCTCACTGCAACCTCCTCCTCCCAGGTTCAAGCGATTCTCCTGCCTCAGCCTCCTGAGCAGCTGGGATTACAGGCGTGCACCGCCACGCCCGGCTAATTTTGTATTTTTAGTAGAAACAGGGTTTCTCCATGTTGGTCAGGCTGGTCTCAAATTCCCGACCTAAGGTGATCCACTGGCCTCGGCCTCCCAAAGTGCTGGAATTACAGGCGTGACCTACTGCGCCCGGCCTTTTTTTTTTTTTTTCTGATACAGAGTTTTGCTCTCTCACCCAGGCTTGAGTGCAGTGTGGCATTGCAACCTTCGCTCCCCGGGTTCAAGCGATTTTCCCACCTCAGCCTCCCACGTAGCTGGGATTACAGGCACCTGCCACCATGCCTGGCTAATTTTTGGTGTTTTTAGTTCAGACAGGGGTTTCACCATTTTGGCCAGGCTGGTCTTGAACTCCTGACCTCAGGTGATCCGCCCGCCTCGGCCTCACAAAGTGCTGAGATCACAGGCGTGAGCCACCCTGCGGCGGAAGAATCACTACGTTTATCGTCTTCTCTTTTGCATGCAGGGAGGGCTGGGGGGTCCTCCAGGCATCCGCCGAGACTCCCTCTACTGGGCTGCCTTAGTTCAGCAGCCATCTCTCCTGACGGCCAGAAATGGAAACAGAAACTTAAACAGCTTCGTTTGGTTCGGGTTTTTTTTTTTTTTTAATTGGAAACTGAAACTTAGCTGTGCTTTGGAGAGGAAAGAGGAATTTTCTCTTTCTATTTGAGGTTGTTAGGAAAAAAGGTTGGGAGATGAAGCCAAGTGCCCCTTGGGCTTCCTTGTGAGGAAGGTTCTCAGGCTGGGAATTTCCCAGCCTATCCTGGAGCTGGCCTGCGCCGACCATACTCCATTTCCTGCTGCAGGAGAAGGAGACTTGTCTCCCTATGGGAACTAGGAGCGTCTGCCCCAGGTCAGGGGTGAGGGGATGGGGCTTGGGCTGAGCCTGAGGAGTCCTGGGGTTTAGGATTGACTTTATTTTCTAAAAGCGAAGGCATACCCCTTTACTGCTTGTTTTGTTCGGTGTGTCCAGGTCTCCCCTATCCCCCACCAATAATCCACAGGAGGGAGGTCGTCTTTAAAATAATGGCCTTTAGGGGGCGCTGTTCTCTCAAGAACTTCGTTTTGAACAGCAACGGCCAGTTTGTGGTAGACACCTGGGCCTTTAAAGATCCCAACCAGCGGCCAGGTGTGGTGGCTCACCCTGTAATCCCAGCACTTTGGGAGGCTGAGGCAGGAGGATCACTTGAGGCCAGGAGTTTGAGACCAGTCTGGTTAACATGGTGAAATCCCGTCTTTACTAACAATACAAAATAAAATTAGCTGGGCGTGGCGACGGGGACCTGTAATCCCAGCTACTCGGGAGGCTGAGGCGGGAGAATCACTGGAACCCAGAGGCGGAGGTTGTAGTGAGCAAAGATGGTGCCACTGCGCTCCAGCCAGACTCGTCTCAAACAAATGAACAAAACAAAAGGAAAGAAATCCCACCTTTACCTTGGTACTGTGGAGCCATAAGTATGCATCTATAGGATTCATTTTAAAAATGCCTTAACAACACGTGACTATGTCACTGAAGTTTGTTAAGAATGTCCTGATTTTCAGCCTGGGCAACATAGTAAAACTCCGTTCCTTTTTTGAGACGGAGTTTCGCTCTTTCGCCCAGGCTGGATACTGCCTTCTGGTTTCAAGCGATTCTCCTGCCTCAGCCTCCCGAGTAGTTTGGATTCCAGGTGTCCGCCACCATGCCCGGCTAATTTTTTTTTTTAAAGATGGGGTTTCACCGTGTTGTTCAGGCTGGTCTTGAACTTCTGAACTCAGGTGATCCGGCCACCTTGGCCTCCAAAGTGCTTGGATTACAGGTGTGAGCCACCATGCCCGGCCTAATTTTTTTTTTTTTAAAACAGAGTCTCACCCTGTTGCTCAGGTTAGATTGCGGTGGCACCAGCTCAGCTCACTGCAACCTCCACCTCTGGGATTCAAGCGATTCTCCTGCCTCAGCCTTCCAAGTAGCTGGGATTACAGGTGTGTGCCACTGTGCCCAGCTAATTTTTGTATTTTTAGTAGAGACAGGGTTTCACCATGTTGGCCAGGCTGGTCTTGAACTCCTGACCTCTTGAACTGCCCACCTCAGCCTCCCAAAGTTCTGGGATTACGGCGTGAGCCACTGCACCAGGCCCTAAAACTCCATCTGTAGAAAATATTCAGAAAAATTAGCCAGGCACGGTAGCATGCATCTGTAGTCCCAGCTACTTGAGAGGCTGAGGTGGGAGGATCACCTGAGCCTGGGAAGTCAAGACTGCAGTGAGTTGTGATCGAACCACTGCACTCCAGCCTGGGCAACAGAGTGAGACCCTGTCTAAAAAAAAATTAAAATAAAAATGTCCGGATTCAAGACACCCTGTCTCTCATTCTGCTTGATGGAGTAAAAGATACTGAGTCCGGAAAAACTGGCTTAGAAGATTCAGGCCGGGCACGGTGGCTCACACCTGTAATCCCAGCCCTTTGGGAGGCCGAGGTGGGTGGATCACAAGGTCAAGAGATCGAGACCATCGTGGCCAACATGGTGAAACCCCATCTCTACTAAAAATACAAAAATTAGCTGGGCATGGTAGTGCGTGCCTGTAGTCGCAGCTACTCAGGAGGCTGAGGCAGGAGAACTGCTTGAACCTGGGAGGCAGAGGTTGCAGTGAGCCGAGATTGGGCCACTGCACTCCAGCCTGGTGCCTGGAGACAGAGTGAGACTCTGTCTCAAAAAAAAAGAAGAAGATTCAACAGTTGCCTTGGAGAGGGGAAAAGCAGTGTCCAGAGATGCCTGTGAAGAGTTTGAGTTAAAAAACCTTTTTGAAAACTGAAAGTGGAAAAGAGTAATACTTAACATCTAGTACCCCATAACATATATAAATGTATAGTTGTGTCTAAACAAATTAACTAAATATTGGAAGTGCATATTTCATTTCCTATAAGCTTAATCAGGGCTACGTCAATATATTTTTTATTTATTTTTCATTTATTTATTTTTATGTTTTTCCCCATTGGTCTGTGTGATTCTGAAACACATTTTTTTATTTTCTTACTGGCAAATGTTTGTTATTAATCCACTGGGAAAACTGATTGGAATTGGGGATCACCTTGTATTAGGGCATTTTTGGTAGATGTGCTCATATTTTACAAACTGTGGCTTCCAGTACATCGTCCTCATAGGAAACTGACATTTTTGTCAATTTTCCTCCCTTCCACAAGGTGGTGCTGCACACGCACCTAAAACAACCACCATTTCTAGTTCCTAGGATCCTAGTGCAGAAGAGGCAGAGGGGATCTGCTTAATCCTTGTTTTGCAGGAGGCGGACAGGAGCCCAGAGTGTTCACCAGGGCTCTTTGACATGAGTATTAAAATTCACTCCAATAGCTATTACTTCTCAAGCACTTTGTGTATGCCAGTCTCTTTACACAGTTTATTTTATTTCTTTTTTTTTGAAATGGGGTCTGGCTCTGTCACCCATGCTGGAGTACGTGGCACGATCTCAGCTCACTGCAACCTCACCTCCCAGACTCAAGTGATTCTCCCACCTCAGCCTCCTGAGTAGCTGAGACTACAAGTACGCACCGCCACACCGGGCTAATTTCTTTCTTTCTTTTCTTTCTTTTTTTTTTTTGTAGAGACAGGATTTTGCTATGCTGCCCAGGCTGGTCTCAAACTCCTGGGCTCCAGAGATCCGCCTGCCTGACCTCCCGAAGTGCTGGGATTAGAGGAATGAGCCTCTGCACCCATAATCCTCATAAGACTCTGTGATGTAAGTTCACACCATATTACATTATGAGGAAATTGAGTCTCAGAAAGATGATGTGACCTGCCCAGAGTCACACAGCAAAGAAGTAGACAAGCTGTGATTTTTCTATTTTTTTTTTTTTTTTTTAGATTAGGGAGGCCAGACAGACAAGCTGATGCAAACCCAGGATCCCTGATTCCAAATGCCAGAGGCTTACCCACAACATTGTCCTACTGGGCGAGGCTTGGAGAATACAGAAATGAATAAGGCAGCCCCATTCCATGGGCAGCTTGTTATGTGTCTTGTCTACTGGGAATCTTCAGGGTGTGATGCTCATGGTCCCAAGGTCTAGCACAGAGCTTGGCACACAGTGGGGCCTCAGTGAATGTTGGCACACAGTGGGGCCTCAGTTAGTGAATGAATGATACCATGTTTCCTGGGAGGCATAAGCACTTGAATCTTGTGACTGTATTTCTTAGTCCATAAAAGGGATAGACTGTGGAGGACAGCGAACTTCCTGGTACCCTTCTGCTTGTCCCATTGAGGCTTCTATCAAGGGTCCCCACCTTTGAGTATAGTGGCTCAACCACAACGGACCATTCCAAAGGTCCCCTCTGGTTCTGCACTGCAGATATTCTGTGCACGGAGGTGTGGGACCTCTTTCCTGAGGTGCGTGCTTCTTCATTTACCCCAGAGTTTCTTAACATTTTGGAGTCTTGTGCACGCCAGAGAAGATGATGAATGCAAGGGGCCCTTTCTCTAGAAGACATGTTTATGCTTCTATTCTGCCTGCCATTTCAGGGGCTTCCTGAAATTTTTTTTTTCCAGAATGCAAAATTTTCCTTCTATTGCCCCCATCATTTGCACACATTTTTGTCAAGTCCAAACATAATTTGAAGTGAGGTAGGCAGTTTCTCTCTCCTTGTGCTATTGTCCTGGGGGTGATGTCGGGGCCTGTGCCCTGAATGCACCTGTCTCCCGTGCTGGGGCAGTGCCAGGGCTGGTGCCAGCGGCTGGTGGAGCTTCTCAGTTGGCTATTTTCTCAATCTCGTCCAAATCCTCTGTGTCCAATCTTTCTATCTTCTTATGAAAATGCCCCTGGATTCCGTTCAGAATGTTCATGCTGTGCTTGCTGTCCACCATGTTCGCTGCCAGTCCCCTCCTGCCAAAGCTGCCCGTGCATCCAATCCGGTGCAGGTAGGCCTCATTGTCAGGGTTCCGTCCTTGTCTACGAGACGATCAAAGTTGATGACGACAGACACTTGTTCAACATCGACCCTGCGGGCGCACACGTTGGTGGTCACCAGAACCTTCTCTTTGCCCTCTTGGAAGCGATCAATCACCATAGCCCTCTGCTCCACCATCATCTCCCCACTCAGCAGAGCCACCTGGTGGCCTTTTTTGAGAGCTCTGCTGCTAGCCAGCTGGCGGTTTTGCGAGTATGGCAGAAAATCATGGCTTGAGCAATGGTGTGTAGAGGTTACACAGGGCCTGGAACTTCTCATCTCTGCTGCTGCACAGGACACAGGACTGCTTGATGGTGTCCAGAGTCTCTTCCTTGTGCTTCAGTTTGATAACGTTTGGGTCTGGGACCACTTTCTGGGCAAATTTCCACACAGAGTCTTCAAAGGTGGCGGAGAAAAGCAGCATCTGGCAGTTCCTGGGCAGCATCGTCTGGATGTGGATGCTCTGATCCTGGTGGCCCCTGAGTGCCTATCATGACATCAGCCTCATCCAGAACAAACACCTTGATTTTCTTGGGATCAATGAACTTGAGCTTGGAGCACCAGTCCAGCACGGTCCCAGGGCTGAGCACCAGTCCAGCACGGTCCCAGGGGTGCCACTGCCAATCTGCTCACTGATCTTCTGAACTCTTTCCAATTTATTGCCTCGAACGGCACAGGCAAGCTTCAATTCTTTGGCAATGGGTAAAATGTGCCCCTCTGCTCAATCATCTTTCCTGTTTGAAGTGCCAGTTCATATGTTGGGGAGAGGCACAGACACTGGGGTATCTGTCTGCTGGCTCCACTCGGCTGAGCATGGCCAGGAGAAAGGCAGCTGTTTTACCAGTGCCAGACTGAGACTGGGAAATCAGGTTCTCTGGGGGTTCAGCAAGCATCATGGGTAACGCTTTCTCTTGTGTCTTGGATGGTCGGTGAAAGCCCATAGCGTGGACTCCCTGGAGAAGTGTGGTTTCAGCCGAAGCTCTTCAAAAGACTTCACCGAGTACGGGGAGGAGTTTGGATCCCACTTGGTTTGTGTTATCCACAAGGTTGCTTCTGATCAGCTTGTTGAGTCAGGACTGGGCAGCGCTGCCGTCTTTCTCCTCTTCATCTGTTTTCTCGGCAGTGGTACTGGTTTTGATACCATCGGTGTCTGCTTTGGCTTTCTCTTCCTTGATCTGCAAATTGGTCATTGACTTTACAGCCGCTTCCTGTTCATCCACCGCCAGGGCCCACGGGTCGGTGGCCATAGTCCCAGACAAGGGAGACCCACCTGTGAAAATATGAGCTGCACCATGTGCCAACGCCCTTTTTTTGGGGGGGTGGTGATATCGATTTATTGCAGCTCCAATCTGAGTCCACTCCTACTCACACCCCGATTCTCGGGGGCTTGGGGAAGGCCACCCAACTAGGGGCCCTGTCCCCACCAGACCCTGGACATGGGAATCTTTCCCAAGCAGGGGTGCTGTCCTTCTTGGGGGCTCCCACATCTCTCCCAGGCCTGTCCAAGCTCTGGGCAGGGCTGGCATGTGGCTATTAAGAACCTTTGCTGTGGGGCAAGCGCAGTGGTCATGTCTGTAATCTGAGCATTTTGGGAGGTCAAAGTGGGTGGATCACTTGAGGTCAGGAGTTCAAGATCAGCCTGGCCAACATGGTGAAACCCCATCTCTACTAAAAATACTAAAGAATTAGCCAAGTGTGGTGGTGGGTGCCTATAATCCAAGCTGCTTGGGAGGCTGAGGCAGGAGAATCGCTTAAACCAGGGAGGCAGAGGTCGTGGTGAGCCGAGATTGCACCACAGCACACCAGTCTGAGTGTCAGAGAGAGAGTCTGTCTCAAAAAAATAAAAGAAAGAATCTCTGCTGTGGAAGATGCTTATTTTTTATTTTTTCAAAATTTTTATTAGAGATGGAGGGACAGCTCAGTATGTTGTCCAGGCTGGAGTCAAACTCCCGGGCTCAAAGGATCCTCCTGCTTCATTCAGCCTCCTGAATAGCTGGGATTACAGTGCATGCCACCAAGCGTGGCTTCTCTGTATGTGGAAGAATGTGGAAGATTCTTGAGAACCTAAAGACATCCTAAACAAGAGTCCCATCTCAAACCTTTTTCCTGAATTTTTGCTGTGCATCCTGCTGGGTGTTAACGGATAGTGTAGGAAAAATCAGCAGCCTTCAGATCAATCAGAAGGGTGACCTGGGACAGCAGGGCACCTGGTCAACAGCCTCTCAGGTCTCAAGCCACACAGGGGACTGGGATCTGAGTGTTTCCCACCTCCCCAGTAAGCCCGCAACTTTTTCTTCCATCTGGCCCCCATTTTAGAGCCTTGCCTCAGTTTCTCCAAGAGAAGCCTGTTTAATCCTGAATCTCCTCTAATAACCACATTTGAAAAAAATTTTGGGGGATGGGTTCTTGCTCTTGTTGCCCAGGCTGGAGTGCAGTGGCACAATCTTGGCTTACTGCAACCTCCATTTCCCGGGTTCAAGTGATTCTCCTGCCTCAGCCTCCCAAACAGCTGGGATTACATGCACCGCCACCATGCCTGGCTAATTTTTGAATTTTTTGTAGAAACGGGGTTTCACCATATTGGCCAGGCTGGTCTCGAACTCCTGACCTCAGGTGATCAGCCCACCGAGGCCTCCCACAGTGCTGGGATTACAGGCGTGAGCCACTGTGCCTGGCTGTAACCACATTTTAAAATTATTGTTTCCAACGGGTATCCCCAGGAAGTACAAAAAACAGTTGCACTCAGGGTTGTAAGTTCATAGTTGCCCTCATCCCAACCATCATCAACAAAACACAAGAATGATTTTCTTCTTTTCCTTAATGGTGAAAATAAGATTTTGCCATTTGTTGGTATCATATGTATTGAGCACGTTTGGGGACCTTGTGACTCTGGGTCACAAAATAAGACTGGGCTTTTGGAAATGTGGGTAGATAAGGTGGAATGAGGGGGGCGGGATAAGCTCATAGCTGGCTGCAAAAGCCTATCCAGGGTTTGTGGAGCTTCTACAGTTTTCTAGATCCTTTTTAAGAAAAATGGCATAAGATAGTGAATACAAATTTCAGTTCAAAAGTGTTGTTATTTCTTACCTATGCCATTTTCCTTGTCTCTGAACACTTTTTTCTTTAATTTAACATTTCTTGCAAGACAGATCTACTGGCGGTAACTTACTGATACATTTTGCCCAAATCCAACTCTCCAGTTCCCTCATTTTTTCTGCATTGATGAAATAGAAATCTACATTCCTCCAACATGGGCCACCATTTTTTGCTCACCTGAAAGTTCTTTATTTCTCTTTCACTTTTGAAAGATAATTTTGATGGGTACAGAATCCTCGGTGTGTGGGTTTTTCCTTCAACACTAGGTATTTTACTCCACTCTCTTCTTCCTTATGTAGTTTCTGACGAGTTCAATGTAATTCTTTTTTTTTTCTTCCAAGACAGGGTTTCACTCTGCCCAAGGTGGAGTGCAGTGGCATGATCTTGACTTACTGTAGCCTCAACCTCCCAGTCTCAAGCAATCCTCTTGCCTCAACCTCCCGAGTAGCTGGAACCACAGGCACACATCATCAATCCCAGCTAATTTTTTGTAGAGATGGGGTTTCTCTATGTTGCCCAGGCTGGTCTCAAACTCCTGAGCTCAATCAAGCCTCCTGCCTTGGCCTCCAAAGTGTTGGGATTGTAAGTGTGAGTCACTCCCCTGCCCAGTGTAATTCTTATACTAGTTCCTCTACAAGTAATGTACATATTTTCCTTTGGCTTCTTTC